TCCTTCATCACAGTCATACTCTCCTTCCTGTCCTTCATCACAGTCAGACTCTCCTTCCTGTCCTTCATCACAGTCAGACTCTCCTTCCTGTCCTTCATCACAGTCATACTCTCCTTCCTGTCCTTCATCACAGTAAGGCTCTCCTTCCTGTCCTTCACCACAGTCAGGCTCTCCTTCCTGTCCTTCACCACAGTCAGGCTCTCCTTCCTGTCCTCCATCACAGTCAGACTCTCCTTCCTGTCCTTCGTCACAGTCAGACTCTCCTTTCTGTCCTTTATCACAGTCAGACTCTCCTTCCTGTCCTTCATCACAGTCAGACTCTCCTTCTTGTCCTTCATCACAGTCATACTCTCCCTCCTGTCCTTCATCACAGTCAAAGTCTCCTTCCTGTCCTTCATCACAGTCAGACTCTCCTTCCTGCCCTTTTATCACAATCAGACTCTCCTTCCTGTCCTTCGTCAGTCAGACTCTCATTCCTGCCCTTCATCACAATCAGACTCTCCTTCCTGCCCTTCATCTCAATTAGACTCTCCTCCCTGTCCTTCGTCAGTCAGACCCTCCTTCCTGTCCTTCATCACAATCAGACTCTCCTTCCTGTCCTTCGTCAGTCAGACTCTCCTTCCTGCCCTTCATCACAATCAGACTCTCCTTCCTGTCCTTCGTCAGTCAGACTCTCCTTCCTGTCCTTCATCACAGTCAGACTCTCCTTCCTGTCCTTCGTCAGTCAGACTCTCCTTCCTGCCCTTCATCACAATCAGACTCTCCTTCCTGTCCTTCGTCACTCAGACTCTCCTTCCTGCCCTTCATCACAGTAAGGCTCTCCTTCATGTCCTTCACCACAGTCAGGCTCTCCTTCCTGTCCTTTACCACAGTCAGGCTCTCCTTCCTGTCCTCCATCACAGTCAGACTCTCCTTCCTGTCCTTCGTCACAGTCAGACTCTCCTTTCTGTCCTTTATCACAGTCAGACTCTCCTTCCTGTCCTTCATCACAGTCAGACTCTCCTTCTTGTCCTTCATCACAGTCATACTCTCCCTCCTGTCCTTCATCACAGTCAAACTCTCCTTCCTGTCCTTCATCACAGTCAGACTCTCCTTCCTGCCCTTTTATCACAATCAGACTCTCCTTCCTGTCCTTCGTCAGTCAGACTCTCATTCCTGCCCTTCATCACAATCAGACTCTCCTTCCTGCCCTTCATCACAATTAGACTCTCCTTCCTGTCCTTCGTCAGTCAGACCCTCCTTCCTGTCCTTCATCACAGTCAGACACTCCTTCCTGTCCTTCATCACAGTCAGACTCTCCTCCCTGTCCTTCATCACAGTCAGGCACTCCTCCCTGTCCTTCATCACAGTCAGGCACTCCTTCGTGTCCTTCATCACAGTCACACTCTCTTTCCTGTCCTTCATCACAGTCAGACTCTAGATCTCCTCCCTGTCCTTCATCACAGTCAGACTCTCCCTCCTGTCCTTCATCACAGTCAGACTCTCCTTCCTGGCCTTCATCACAGTCAGACTCGCCTTCTTGTCCTTCATCACAGTCAGACTCTCCTTCCTGTCCTTCATCACAGTCAGGATCTCCTTCCTGTCCTTCAACACAGTCAGGCTCTCCTTCCTGTCCTTCATCACAGTCAGGCTCTCCTTCCTGTCCTTCATCACAGTCAGACTCTCACTCCTGTCCTTCATCACAGTCAGGCTCTCCTTCCTGTCCTTCATCACAGTCAGACTCTCCTTCCTGTCCTTCATCACAGTCATACTCTCCTTGCTGTCCTTCATCACAGTCAGACTCTCCTTCCTGTCCTTCATCACAGTCAGACTCTCCTTCCTGTCCTTCATCACAGTCATACTCTCCTTCCTGTCCTTCATCACAATCAGGCTCTCCTTCCTGTCCTTCAACACAGTCAGACTCTCCTTCCTGTCCTTCATCACAGTAAGGCTCTCCTTCCTGTCCTTCACCACAGTCAGGCTCTCCTTCCTGTCCTTCACCACAGTCAGGCTCTCCTTCCTGTCCTCCATCACAGTCAGACTCTCCTTCCTGTCCTTCGTCACAGTCAGACTCTCCTTTCTGTCCTTTATCACAGTCAGACTCTCCTTCCTGTCCTTCATCACAGTCAGACTCTCCTTCTTGTCCTTCATCACAGTCGTACTCTCCCTCCTGTACTTCATCACAGTCAAACTCTCCTTCCTGTCCTTCATCACAGTCAGACTCTCCTTCCTGCCCTTTTATCACAATCAGACTCTCCCTCCTGTCCTTCATCACAGTCAGACTCTCCTTCCTGGCCTTCATCACAGTCAGACTCGCCTTCTTGTCCTTCATCACAGTCAGACTCTCCTTCCTGTCCTTCATCACAGTCAGGATCTCCTTCCTGTCCTTCAACACAGTCAGGCTCTCCTTCCTGTCCTTCATCACAGTCAGGCTCTCCTTCCTGTCCTTCATCACAGTCAGACTCTCACTCCTGTCCTTCATCACAGTCAGGCTCTCCTTCCTGTCCTTCATCACAGTCAGGCTCTCCTTCCTGTCCTTCACCACAGTCAGACTCTGCTTCCTGTCCTTCATCACAGTCAGACTCTCCTTCCTGTCCTTCATCACAGTCAGACTCTCCTTCCTCTCCTTCATCACAGTCAGACTCTCCTTCCTGTCCTTCATCACAGTCAGACTCTCCTTCCTGTCCTTCATCACAGTCATACTCTCCTTCCTGTCCTTCATCACAGTCAGGCTCTCCTTCCTGTCCTTCATCACTGTCAGACTCTCCTTCCTGTCCTTCATCACAGTCAGACTCTCCTTCCTGTCCTTCATCACAGTCATACTCTCCTTGCTGTCCTTCATCACAGTCAGACTCTCCTTCCTGTCCTTCATCACAGTCAGACTCTCCTTCCTGTCCTTCATCACAGTCATACTCTCCTTCCTGTCCTTCATCACAATCAGGCTCTCCTTCCTGTCCTTCAACACAGTCAGACTCTCCTTCCTGTCCTTCATCACAGTAAGGCTCTCCTTCCTGTCCTTCACCACAGTCAGGCTCTCCTTCCTGTCCTTCACCACAGTCAGGCTCTCCTTCCTGTCCTCCATCACAGTCAGACTCTCCTTCCTGTCCTTCGTCACAGTCAGACTCTCCTTTCTGTCCTTTATCACAGTCAGACTCTCCTTCCTGTCCTTCATCACAGTCAGACTCTCCTTCTTGTCCTTCATCACAGTCATACTCTCCCTCCTGTCCTTCATCACAGTCAAACTCTCCTTCCTGTCCTTCATCACAGTCAGACTCTCCTTCCTGCCCTTTTATCTCAATCAGACTCTCCTTCCTGTCCTTCGTCAGTCAGACTCTCATTCCTGCCCTTCATCACAATCAGACTCTCCTTCCTGCCCTTCATCACAATTAGACTCTCCTTCCTGTCCTTCGTCAGTCAGACCCTCCTCCCTGTCCTTCATCACAGTAAGACTCTCTTTCCTGTCCTTAATCACAGTCAGACTCTCCTTCCTGTCCTTCATCACAGTCAGACTCTCCTTCCTGTCCTTCATCACAGTCATACTCTCCTTCCTGTCCTTCATCACAGTCAGACTCTCCCTCCTGTCCTTCATCACAGTCAGACTCTCCCTCCTGTCCTTCATCACAGTCAGGCTCTCCTTCCTGTCCTTCATCACAGTCAGACTCTCCCTCCTGTCCTTCATCACAGTCAGACTATCCTACCTGTCCTTCATCACAGTAAAACTCTCCCTCCTGTCCTTCATCACAGTCAGACTCTCCCTCCTGTCCTTCATCACAGTCAGACTCTCCCTCCTGTCCTTCATCACAGCCAGACTCTCCCTCCTGTCCTTCATCACAGTCAGACTCTCCCTCCTGTCCTTCATCACAGTCAGATTCTCCCTCCTGTCCTTCATCACAGTCAGGCTCTCCTTCCTGTCCTTCATCACATTCAGACACTCCTCCCTGTCCTTCATCACAGTCAGACTCTCCTCCCTGTCCTTCATCACAGTCAGGCACTCCTCCCTGTCCTTCATCACAGTCAGGCACTCCTTCGTGTCCTTCATCACAGTCACACTCTCTTTCCTGTCCTTCATCACAGTCAGACTCTAGATCTCCTCCTGTCCTTCATCACAGTCAGACTCTCCCTCCTGTCCTTCATCACAGTCAGATTCTCCCTCCTGTCCTTCATCACAGTCAGGCTCTCCTTCCTGTCCTTCATCACATTCAGACACTCCTCCCTGTCCTTCATCACAGTCAGACTCTCTTTCCTGTCCTTCATCACAGTCAGACTCTAGATCTCCTCCCTGTCCTTCATCACAGTCAGACTCTCCCTCCTGTCCTTCATCACAGTCAGACTCTCCTTCCTGGCCTTCATCACAGTCAGACTCGCCTTCTTGTCCTTCATCACAGTCAGACTCTCCTTCCTGTCCTTCATCACAGTCAGGATCTCCTTCCTGTCCTTCAACACAGTCAGGCTCTCCTTCCTGTCCTTCAACACAGTCAGACTCTCCCTTCTGTCCTTCATCACAGTCTGTGTTCAATCTTACTCCAGTTATATAATTATTACTATATTACACTATATGTATACACTTGAGAACATATTTAACGCGGGTAATAAACAGAGTACAACACTCGTCCTCGTTAGATACCACTGTTACGAAGCTCGCGACTTTGTATGCTATATAACAAGAATGAGCGTAATTCTGTCTATGTATGCAATTACATTCATACAACATGCATGTGTGTAGATGTATAAATGCTAAAGCTTAACTATCCCGCAGAATATTAATTGAACGTGGTTTTGCATCGTTAATATTTTTTGAATATAAACAAAATACACATGTGGCCTATTGTGATCTTACTGCATACACACTGCATATACAATATTTACGATACGGAAACACATGAGGGTATAAATAGTTTTATCAGGTATATCTTTCTCAAAGTAAGCAAAGTTTAAACTTTCATCGTCAGTATTTACACAAGAAAACTTCACTCATGACCTGGTATGTACAGGTATTCTTGATGTGTTAGTGCTTCTTTCAGATTTGTAAACTCTCGGATTGACCTGGTTGCGGGCATTATGAACACCCCTGTGTCGAGTGCTCACATCTCCCGGTAAGTCTCGCGTCCAAACAATTATTGCTACTGTAAATCGTATACATTAAATGTATCGTCCTACTTTTAGTTCTCATGTTAGCAATTGTCGAATAGTAACAAAGTATAAGCTATATATAATCTGTGTGTATCTCACATATCATGTCCATACCTAACTGCATACTATGTCACATGGATACTCGCGTGAGCCAAATGTGAACATCATTAATCTTCATTTCCAGGAGCACATTGGTGTCAATGTACTGTGTAAATACAGTTTCTGTTTAGATGTGAGGAGATCTTGCATTTACTTGGAACTGCAACATCTGAGGAAAACAGAGAAGGAGACTGTACAATTGTACAGAAGGCAAGGTATTGCTCAGTCCTAAAAAATACCTTGTTTTTAGACAGTCAGTGTGTCACAACAAGAAACCTTCATTGAATTATACTCATTTGTGTTTTAGTATTGGAGCGTATAAAGCTATAGCATTAAGTACAAGGGATGTGATTGTAAAAACATATACGACGTCAAAATGGCCGACGGGATTAACGTTACGGTATGACTTTATCTCATTGTTTTCATTGAATAAGTGATGAGTGGTTGTTAGTAATGATTGTTAAATTACGTGATCTTTTAGAGTTGCTGATAAAGATAAGTCAAATTGTAAATCCACACATTACTGGAGTGTTTTGATTAAGCCATTTTCCAGTTTTCAGGCTTAGAGTTATCTGCCCCTTATGACACGTGAACGCGGGCTTGACAACATATGAAAAGAGCTGTCAGATTACCGATCTGAGGTACACGTATCAAACACTCTCAGACATTAACACTAACTGTGACCGTTACCTTTTACAAGGACATTGGAATAATGTGTCACACAGTTAAGCCTCGATTTTCACAGAAGGAAGCTTCGCGTCTACATGTCTAGATCTCTCTCGAGACTGTTGCTTGTTCGTTGATGTAGATATTGATTACTCGCATGTTATCGGCAAGATCGTAAATGGGCAAACACAGGTCTTTGTTAAGTTTGTTGCTCACAATACCAAAAACCAGGTCTACACGGCAAAAAAAAGAAACTAAAGGGTCACTCAAGAATATTTGATTTGTAATGGGGACCTCAGAAAATATCGCCATGACTTGGTGAAACTACTTCCAAATCTAAACAAGGACACTTCATTGTATTCATTTTGGACCCCTGATGGTAGAATATTTGCTTGCAATGAAAAAGGTGGAAAGCGATTGATGATTACAACCACAACAACTGTAAAATAGTTAAAACTCAAATCAAGAACAAAACAAAGATATCACATCCATATACAATTAATGTTACTTGTGAGATCCAAAAGTTGCAATAATATGTGTAACTGGATATGAGATCGAGATCGATACAATCCCATTAAAATCAGATCTTAGTTCTTGCTACTGCTAAACAAAGGTCTGAGGACATCCAATTACGGGTCATGTCAGAACGACCTTGCGCGAACTTCGACCGACCAATGGAATGACCAATCAGTAGGCAGCTTTCTCGTACTTTACGGCACTAATGGCAAACTGGCGACTACGCTTCAAAACATATTTTGATAAATTCTCAATTACAAATTTGAAACCTGAACAAAAGAACCTTCTGGTATGGCTAATAGATGGTATAGATTGTATGGATTCAGTCGTTGGACCCTTAACTATCGTTCGGAATACCCTGTGTTACAGTTTTCGAGGTTGCATGATTAGAAATCACATTCAGACTGTCACTTTTATAATCTGGTAAGAAACGCTCTGATTGGTCGGATGAAAGGTCGTTCTGACGTGACCACTAATGGGATGTCTTCAGATCTTTGTTTAGCGGTAGCGAGTACTAAAGTCTGATTTTAATGAGCTTGAGATCGATAAAAAAACCTGTATCATTCGTTTTTATCACTAGTGTCATTATTCCATCACAGTTATATGTGTTGACTACAACACAAACACCCAGTGTCCATACATTGGACTCTCGTAAATCATTGCGTTTATTGACACATTTAGTCATAATGCAGACTACATGCACATGTGTACCACAGCACTTCATTTCATTTTACCTCCTCGTGGTGAGTGCTGGGTAGCGCTAATAGCTCATCCCCCGTGTGGAACAAGGGCAGAATATTTCCAAAGCCTCCCATTGCTGGTCGTATGAGGCGACTTAAATGGGCAACCTGTTTGCCGTGGGTTGCGTCCCTGTGTCGGCGGAGGACGGGAGTCTGGTAGTTGAGGGCACTGGTTCCTGGAATAGCGTTCCTTTGCCCAACACACTACTTCGACCCTTACTTCGCCTAGACGGGTGGTAAGATGGGCCCGGTCTTATCAATCGGCTGGTCATGCCAGGCCCTGTGCGTAGAATTGTATCTGCACACCTGTGTTGTATTTTGATGTATATTTTGGTCTTGGTCATGTTAAACTTGTATGTACTCACAATTTGTCATGGAATTAATTGCCTAGAGTCTTATGCCAGAAGGCGGTGGCTCATGGGCCAATCTGGTGATGTTGACCTCCGAGTAATGTATGTCTCCAATTTCTTGTCAAGAGCAGAACCAGTCTGACATTGAATTGGTAGATAAATATAGCTATTCGTGTCTTTTTTGCTGGAGTATAACAACCCTGTACCCCTGGTGTTTGCATTCTGGATATCCGGTGCAATGTAACACTGTCCTTGTTGACACTCCATGGTGGGTAGGGAGCAGGGTTGCTGAATACTTTTCTTTCACCATGGCGTCTAATCATCCTGGTTCAAAGCGTAGACATATAGAATTAGGCTCATCTAATGAGACAGTTGCAAATATTGATTCTTGGGCTCGTTTCCTTGTGATCGAGGCTAAAGATCATGAACCCATCAAACTGAACCCCTTTGCCATTTCTAAAGCCATTCAAGTATATTGTGGAGAGGTTAAAAACGTGACACGACTTCGCTCTGGCTCCCTTCTTGTTGAATGTGTAAGGAAACAACAATCAATCAATCTGTTATCAATCAGTCAATTTGCCAATATTGAGGTTGTTGTTTCTGAACACAGGACACTCAACTCCTGCCGAGGCATTGTCCGTGACAGGACTGGTTCTTTGTCGGACATGTCTGAACAAGAAATTGCTGAAGAGCTTCACACTCAAGGAGTATCTGCTGTTAAACGTTTCTCCCGCAAGAAGGACGATTCAACTTTTGAACCAACACATACGTAATTGTTTACGTTTGCCAGATCTTCTATCCCAAAATCAATTAAAGCTGGATACGTCAACATCGGAGTGGAGGTGTATGTCCCCAATCCACTCCGATGCTTTAGATGTCAACATTTTGGCCATGGCTCTAAGTCCTGTAATCGTTCTGTGGTTTGTCAACGCTGTGGCGACAACCATAAGAGTACTGATTGCCAACAAGCCCTCACATGTGCGAACTGTGATGGCAAACATATGGCTTCCTCCAAATTCTGCCCTATTTGACAAAATGAATAAAAAATACTAAAGATAAAGTGTGAAAAAAACATTACTTTTGGAGAAGCTAGACAACTGTTTAAGTCTCAATCACCACCTCAATCGACACTAAATTACTCTGCTGCTGTCTCAAAGCCAGTCCAATCTTCATCTGTCTCGTGTCAGACAGAGTTGACATGGGTCCAGTCTGATCGACCCCTGGCAACTGCTCCTGCCATCGAGCATGACAAATCTGATGCAAAAACAACAGCACCACCTTCAACTTCTCAGGCAGCGAGTCAGACTCCACCTGAACCAACAACAACTGCAAGTGTCAAGCGGTCAAATCTGTAAAGAAAAAAGTTAGGTAAAAAACAATTACCAAGGAATCCCTCTCCTTCAGAGGTACCTCTTCAAAACTCCTATAGTGCTCTGACATGGAAGTAACACCATCGTCTGAGAATTTTGGTAGGAGTTCTTCCTCCTCACTTTCGCGTGAGAGATCCCCTATTGAACCACCATGATTCATTCGCCTAATATACTTCAATGGAATTGCAGAGGACTAAGAAAGAATTTTAATGACTTACAATTGTTAGTTCAAGATTATAACCCATCAGCATTATGTCTCCAAGAGACATATCTTAAGCACACTGATATGTTTGATCTCAGGCAGTACAACTGTCATCATTCATTTTCTCCTCCAGGTGATAAAGCGACCGGAGGCTCTACTATTTTAGTCAGACAGAACGTCATTCACAGTCCTGTACATTTAAATACTAATCTTCAAGCTGTAGCTATCCGTATTACTTTGTACATTGCATTTACTTTGTGCTCTTTGTATATCCCACATTCATCTGCTCTTCGACAGTCTGATCTACAGAATCTATATGATCAGCTCCCTAGGCCCTGCATCATCATGGGCGATTTAAACGGGCATAACCCTCTGTGGGGAAGTGCAAGTACAAACAACAAGGGGAGAGTTATTCAAGATTTTGTTTCTGATAATGGTTTATGTCTATTTAATGATGATTCAAACACTTACATCCTGCTACTGGAACCTATTCTGCCCTTGATCTGTCCCTCACAGATTCAAACATTTACAATGAATTTGAATGGTCTGTGCATGACGACCTTTGTGGAAGTGATCACTTCCCTACTGTCTTAAAAACTGTAACATCAGATGATGACCTTACTTCATCAAGATGGAATTTTAGCAAGGCCAACTGGTCCTTGTATGAAAGTTTATGTGTTGATATATGACAACCTGACAACTTCATACATGTACCTGATCGAATCAACTCAATGATATTGCTGACAAAACAATTCCTAAGTCCTCTGCAACTCCTCATCTTCGTAAACCATGGTTTAACTATGATTGCAAACAAGCAAGAAAGTGTAGGAAGAAAGCAGAAAAATATTTTCGCCGACATCCTACAGTTCACAACTTGAATTCTGTTAAAATTACTAATGCCAAGGCACGACGTGCTTATAATCAAAATAAGCGTTAATCTTGGAGGAACTATGTCTCAAAACTTAATTCACGTACACCCATTTCCGACACGCGTCACATGTTTGAGTTTTCGCGATAAAATATGTTAAAATCAAAACCACATGCCCTCGCCCACCCCAAATACTCCTCACGTTGACATTTTACATCTCCTGGCGATCTTTGTACCTGTTTTCTGGTGAGGTGAAATGGGGTTTAGCGTCGCATCCAAGATTATTGCACTTATATAGCAACGTGCATGCACGTGTGTGTGTGTGGTTGCTTGTACTCGTCCGGACTGATGTCGATTTATAGTGCTAGCTCACTGAGATACCATGCCGCAATTTAACATGAATACCCCACACTGACACCGAGCCGACCAGTCCTTGTTTTAGCCCCTTAATGCCGAGCGCCAGACAAGGTAACAACAAGTACCATCTTTTAACGTCTTTTGGTATGACGCAGCCGCGGATCGAACCCCGGACCTCCCGCTCTCCGGACGCTCTACAACTAGACCACGGAGGTATCGACCTGTTATCTGACTTACATCAGCCATAGCAAACGTGGTGTCGAGGCATCTTCGTCTCCTCTTTCCGTAAACATTCGAATAGCGGTCGATAAACTGATAAAGTTTGACAGCGGTTTGTATTGACGGATTGCCCGTAGTCACGTGGTTTTGCAAAGTGATGTCACTCTAATTTCACAGAACTGGAACATGGCTTATTAACTTACATGCATTGTAATATTACATTTTTATCCTCACTGTTTTATTTTTTTCTGTAAACATTTGTTCAGAAAAGATCTTGAGAAGATAAGGCAACAAGGTGATCCTCCAGAAATTACAGTAGCTGTATATGGAGACACTGGGGCAGGCAAGTCCTCCCTGTTGAACGCCCTGTTGGATCAGCCGTCCCTGTTGCCTACGGCTGGAATGGGAAGAGCATGTACATCGGTGGTCATAAAAATAGAAGAAAACAAAACAAGCTCTGATTTTGAAGCGGACATTGAGTTTCTCACTGCAGAGGTATCAGACATTTAACCGTGTAGCTCACCTTACTAAAATGAACTTATGCTGCGGCACCTCATTTGTCCGTCTGTCGACAAAAATGGACAAAGAATGCCTATGAAAGTTATCCTTTTCATTCATTATCCGGCAATTCGTGCATGTGTCATTTTGAATTTGGATATGCAGTAAGTATGTGGCATGTGGAATAACATCACTTCTAACCAACAGGTTAGAAATAACAGAGTTCATATATATCATACATGTATGTTCCTTAGGGCAAATATCAAGCACACCAGTATATTGTTTACATCATCCGTACGACATTGTTGTCGTCACTCGAATGTTATTGTGAATTATATCTAAAATGGATAGAATTATCATAAAAAACGCTCGCATATTATCAGAAATGAGCGGGCCACTGTAACTTGATAATGCCCTCATATTACTTGACGACGGGCAATTATCACGCCCGTTGTTAGGTGACGTCATGGAATAGGTATAGGTGACGTAACGTTCAATAGTGACGTCATCTGGTTTGTTCTATGGCGTTTCCATATTTGTAAAAGTGGGTCAGTGACATTCCTGTTGATTGCAGTAAATGGTTCAAAATCGATATTGTTGTTTCTTTTTATTTGATAACAAATTCCATCCATTTTAGCTAAAATAACGGTAACGCTATTTTTCAGGGCATTATCATTTGCAGAAGCCCTCGGTCTTTTCAACTGCCCTCCTTCGTCGGGCAGTAAATGGAAGACCTCGGGCTTCTGCAAATGATAATATTCTGAAAAATAGCGTTACCCTTATAGTATGGAATGACACCACGTAAGAAACGGCAACATAGCTGAAGACTGTTGACGTCTATCGACAATCATTCATTGTGGTTTTCTAAATCGGTTGTTGAGATCAGTGCATTCTTTCAAAAGGGGAGCTCATAAGGATTAAGAAATAATAGGTAATTCGTGTACTACCCTCGAATTCATTAATGTACAATTAAACTAAATGTCAGCTACAACATAATATACAAACAACTAAGTTTAATCAGTATTTTAATCAACAATTGATTTAATTCTTGGTTGATTTAGGAATGGAAGAAAGAACTCAATGTTTTAAAGCATGACCTGGATCAGAGCGATAGTGACAACGAGGAGGATGCTGGTGTGTGCGATGCAGCTCATGCAAAGGTTGCTGCAGTGTATGGTGACTTTAAATCTAAGGACCTTGGTATCCTCCTAGAACGTAATAAAGACATACTTGAACAGCTTGGAACTGTGATGCAAATGGGTGACTCAAATGTGAGTATCCTTTTAGGTCCTGAAAATGAGTATAGAAAAAGGGCAATTTATGACAACCACGGGAGCACACGAGGAACAGTTTTCACATATGTTGTTTTGTGTTAATATTACAGTAGTCGAAAAAGGGCAGGAAGTAGACATGACAAGGTCGAGGAGAGGTACGACAGGTTGCTAAATATCGGAAAAAACTCAATAAGTGGTCTAAGGTTATCTAATTTTGCATAGGCGAACACGAGATGCCATTGCATGTTACAGGAAGACGTGGAAAACGACATGCCGTCAGACAAAACGTTGTAGGATTAATTGAAATGATCATTCAGAGTATACAAAGAATTAATCCCACAGAAATTTAGTGAATGTGCAAATCATGTTATGTTACGAATCGAGATTATTATTATTATTATTATTATTATTATTATTATTATTATTATCATCATGTAGTGTACACTAACTTGTTGTTTCACTGATAGTGATTAGCTATATGACTTATCAAGACCTAATTGCAACCCCACTGGACATCTATGAGACGAACTTGAACGACGTGTTTACCAACGCAATGTAGTCTTCAATCTGGATCAACAATTTCCAGCATTGCTAAAGTTGTGTTAGGGCAGTTGTCTGGGTCCATAAGGATAAACTCGTTATAAATATGCACACAAAACACAGGAATATTTACAGTACTTGTATGATATGTTTAGGCAAGAGACCTACAGGACAAGATCAGGACATTCAGTGAGACAACTGATGATGAACGTCAGTTCTGGCCATTAGTGAAACAAGTGGTTCTGAAAGTACCAGATTCAGGCCTGTGTCGGAGCGGCGTTAACTTGGTTGACCTCCCTGGAGTCGGAGATTCAAACCCAGCAAGAGAAAATGTTGCCAGAAAGGTAGGGATCGCAGATGTGTGTGTAATGTGACTACCACTTCTTCAGACAAATTTGTATATTGTATATTTTATACATATTGTGACATTGCCTTCTTGCAGTACATGCAAACCTGTGATGTGCTGCTGATCGTTACGAAAATTCAGAGAGCTGTTGACAACAAAACAGTCAAGCATACTTTAGGGGACAAACTATTTCGTCAGTTGTTGATGGACCACACTAAGACAGTTGTAGCCTGTACACACACAGATGATGTCAAACCGTCAGAGGTCATCAAGTAAGTTGAACATCATTTTGAAATTAGTCTTATGTTTTGGTGTCTCTTGTATATTATTTAGGAATAAAACATACTGATTTTTTAATGTCATCCAGTAAATAGACTCTAGTTTTAAATATAGTAAATACATTTGATAAATGTTTGGATGTTGTATTATGGTATGTTCGGATGAACAAAACCTTCCAAATGGCGTGCTGGTTTTCTTGGGGGAATTAGTCAGCAAAGAGACAGAGTCACAGGAGACTAATCACAATTTTATTTACAAGAACAATTAATAATGAGCAATTTACAGTATCTTAGAATATAGCTCTGGGTGCCTAAGAGAGTCGGTACAACCCTCTAGGCTGTGGGAGAGAGATCTGCTTGGTTAGAGCAACAAACCCCTTCTCTGCCCTAACACTTGGTTTCTGTATGTATTTAACAAAAATTAGAACAATAAAATGGAATATGATTGGTTGATACACGATGGGCTGTGCCTTATGGTTAATGAATGGCTAGACCGAGGGGAATACTTAATCCTGTTAATCCTGTTGGACTGGCACTAACCTTGTTGACATAGTTACTGGGTGCTTTGAAAGAGATTATGGTGTCACTAGACGAGCTTGTTTTGGGGCTAATCCTTAATGCACTATAGACAAGCTTGTATGGCGGCTAATCCTTAATGAGTCTAAATTGAAGTAATTGCTGAATGCTATTCTAATATAGGTGATGACAGATTTAAATAAAATAGTTCAAGGTAATCTTTAAGACTATGTAGACATATCTTTTGTCTGGGAGATGGAATCTTGATACCTGAGGGTAGCATTTATCTAAAAGCTTCAAATCAATTAAACTACAGTAAACTACGGTTATAACGAACTCAAAGGGACTACTAATTTTAGTTCGTTATAACCGTAGTTCGTTATAAACATATATACAGCATAGCTACAGCATATAGTCGGGACTAAAAAGTTAGTTCGTTATATCCGTTAGTTCGTTATAAGCGTGTTCGTTATAACCGTAGTTTACTGTATGTAGACATAACTTTTATTGAATAGTATGTCTAGGAGATGCGCTCCCATTACCTTAGGATGGCATCTGTCTAAAAAGCTATAACTGAAACTACTGATATCTTATATATGCATTTTACCTGATGATAAGTTTTACTTACTAAACTTTAATTATATGAAATGATGAATAAATATTACACCATGATAACTCATAAAAGCACTTGATGTGGATCTAATTATTATAGGATAACTAAGTATAAATGTTACATCATGATAGTTGCATCCCATTTGAAGTACAACGTTATTCTTGTTAGAACTTAGAACGATTACCGAGGGGAGATTATTCGCAGAATAGCAAAGACCCTCATCAGTTTGGGCTTACCCATAAATGATATTACTGACATAATGTTCAAAGCAGCGTTAAATCAAACTCACTCACTCAATTAGTGATTTACGTATTTGTAGACTTCGTGTCATATTGGAGATATTCTTTCGCAGAACACTGAAGTTACCACAGGCAGCAGAGTGGACAGCCGAAGGTCAGCGATACAAGAAGGAGGAACAAGTCTTGCAACAAAAGTTAGCAGATTTAAAGAGGGACAAACAGGTAAAAACTATAAAAGTCTTTACAGGTACATGTACTTGGAAAACATAATCACCGCCATTTCTAGAATTCCCCCAAAACGCATAAACTACCACCAACCAGTTTGACACAACTTTCTAAATGTGTAACCTTAAAGTATTCCCACGCAATATATATAAGTACACATAATGTCCAACACGCAAGCGTTCTTTGTCGTCATTACTTCCATAGTTGAAGTCCAAGGAAGTTTTGTTTGTGCAGTAGGCAGTCGTCATAGAACATGACAAAAATGGCGCCAAATCTCAAGCTCAGTTGATGTTACTGAATTTTACAATACTCAGTCAAGGTTCCGCCGTTTTGTATCCTAGATATACTGAAAATATTTCTCTCAAGAAGCCATTCTTCCAATATTCGAATGGGAGTAGGTCTTCGAAGCACAGAAGAAAGCACGCACGCAAGCACTCAACTATTTTGTTGTGTACTTGAATTCTCGCTTACTCAATGTGCAAACATGGTAATTTAATGGTCACACTTGGTGAAACCGTGGTCCGATGTCGCTAGACTATTCGTTCGCAACTCTGGCCTAAAAAATGGGTTCGATTTCCCACATTGGTACATCGTGTTAATGCATGATATAATACGATATACCTCATAAAATACATGTATAATTTAAACTACAATGAGTTAATTTCAGGTTGGTTGCAGTAGTGAAACTGAAGAAAACTCTCTTATCCAGCAGGTTTGTCTGTTTACATGCATTTGTATAAAATTCATAGTCTCAAATTAAAGTGACAAAGCATCCATAATCGTTCCATTATACGATGCCAACTTTATCATAAGCATGTGTTTATCGCTATACTGATGACACCAGGTGTTCGCGAAAAGGTGAGCGTATCCTGCACCACCGGTGCAGGCAACACATGCATAGGCAAGTAAATTATTAACCTGAAAAAAGCACGGGAACATACGGTTCAAGTCAAAACTGCAAGGATCCCAATCCCTGGGTGTGTTTCTTCATAATCTTTTGCATTCCAGTTTGTGTACAAATTCATTATTAGCTTTCATCTTATAAACCTGACAATCACTATATAATTGCGTTCTTGTTAAAAAGTAATCTCATGTAATCCAAAGAAAGAAACGATACTTGAATTGCTATGTTGAAATTGTTCACACGTACAGAAGTTGATGATTTTACAACATTTTAGAAACAACGTCTTCATGCGGCAAAAGACCAGTTCAAGAGAGAGAAAACATCAACGTGTGCTGTTAAAAGGAACGAGTTTGTCAGGAATAATATTCTGCATAAAATATCAAGCCCGGTGAGAATTAATATTATTAATGAAACATCAATTGTGACACAAAAGTACCATTAATTACAAAATTTTAAGAAAGAATTCCTGTCCTAGGTGAACGTATAAAATGAATAATCTACTGTGTTCATCTCGAAAAGAGCAGATTAGAAATAAACTATTTGAAGAAGATATATAGAGATTCCAGGGATAGTTATCATGCTCTTTTAGTTCACGTGTTTAAGAAAAACTTATGACAAGACAGCTGAGCTTTCCATTGTGCCCAAACGTAGACAGCTTCACAACTGTAATTCTGTTCAAAGTCGCATAAAACCTTACCCACTCATTCTATTTAATTCCAGTCTACTCCTCATGATCAAGACTATCCCCTTGACCTGAAGGTGTTTTGTGTCAGTTCCAGTGACTATATCAATCTAAGCAACCTTCTCATTTGTGACGACGACGATGACGACAAGCCCCCAGTGAGTAACTTCTTAAAGGGGCATTTAGAAGTTGAAGTACTAAGTCAGATTAAGATTTAAAGATGAACAACTTCGTCATTACAATTAGGAGCGACCTACGCCAAAACGTCACTCCTAATTGTTACTTACTTACTTTGGAGATTTAATGTGCGCTTTCCGACTGATGCGTATTTCGCACACGGGCCCGGCCAGGCCATTTAATGTGTTTCCGAAAGAGGCGAAAGTGGTGTGTGCAATCCAAGAGGGGGCTTTAGGGGTTGCTTATATTGAATTTGGGAATTTTGAGATTTGGAATAGATGCCGATGGGGTTGGGGGGAGAACTAAGGGAGCTGGGTATGGATGGATGTTTGTTTGTGTTTTTATGTGATTTTGATTTGTTAGATTATAGTGTTTTTAGATGCGTTTTATTAGTTCCGTTTTGATTAAGAATACGGCTAAGGCTACGTTTTCTGGTTTATTTTGTGGGTTTAGTATTGCTTCTAGAGTGAGAGCCTTGTTTAGATTGAGGGTGGTTTGTAATGCGGTTCGATGTGTTAGGTAGTGTGTGCAGTGGATGAGTGCGTGTTCTGGGGTTTCTAGTTGTTTGCAGTGTGGGCAGTTACCTGTAGTGTGTTTTTTTAATTTTTTTAGGTGGTTATTTAGGTTGGTGTGTCCTGTTTGGAGTTTAGTGATTACTCTGTCGATTTTTTTGGATGGATGGAGAATTTTGGTTTGGTTAGTAGTTTGCTGAGTACTTTTTTGATTTGGCTATTTGAGTTTAGATATAGGTTATGCCATTTTTTGATGATTGTTTGCTTATTTACGCTTTTAATTTCTGATTTTGAGATGGGTAAGTTTAAGCTTATTTCTGGGATTTTGAGGGATAGTTTAGCTGCCTTATCGGCGTTTTCATTACCGTATATTTCTACGTGGGCGGGTATCCACAAGAAGGTTATTTGTTTGCCTGCGTTAGTTAGGTCGTTGGAGCTTTTAAGTATAAGATTTATTAATATAGGTCGGTTTTTGGTATTTTTGTTTTGGAGGGCTTGCAGTCCACTTAGGGAGTCGGTAAGTATTAGGATTTTATTGTGGTTTTTGGATTCTTGACTATGGAGGGCTGAGGCCATGCCCATTAGTTCTGCTGTGAATATTGATTGGTTGTTTGGGAGTCGGAAGGATTGTGTGGTTTTAGTTGGTTGTGTGGTATGGACTCCGAAACCTGTGTGTTTGGAGGTCGGATCTGAAGATCCGTCCGTGTAAATGTGACAGCAATTTGGCTAATTTTCGTGTATGTATGCTAGTGTGGTGGTTTTAGCTATGTTTGGGTCGGTTTGTTTATTTATTTGGCTAGCTAGTGTTGTGTCTATTTTGGGTATTTTAAGTTTAGGGGTGAAGATATTTGATTGTTTGCAGTTTTGTTTAAGATTTTTAATTTGGTGTTCATTTAGGTAGTTTGTTATTCCTTGGGATATTGGGGTAAGTAGGGGGTGTTTACGAGCTAGAGCTTGGTTTTTGGGGCTGATATTTTGGTTTATAAAGTTTTGGATTAGAGGGTTTGATTGGGATGCGGCCCAGAAATTTAAGCTTAGCTGTTCCCTGCGTAGACTTAGTGGCATTTCTCCTGTTAAGGCCTGAAGTGAAGTGTAGGAGGTGCCATGTTGGGTGCGTGTAATTAGTTTGAGAGCCTGATATTGTATTGAGTCAAGTATTTTAGATAGGGAGTTGTTTAGGGTGTTGTATATGGCGCAGCCGTAGTCTAGTTTTGATCTAATTAGTGATATGTAGAGAGAGAGGAGGGTATCTTTGGAGGCTCCCCAGGCATCTTGGGGTGTTTAGGTCTTTACTGCATTTAGTTGTGAGGTTTTGGATGTGAGCATCCCAGGTGAGATGTTCATCGAAAATAAGTCCTAAGAATTTGGTTTGTTTTTGAAATTTGATTGTTTGGTTGTTTAGCTGGAGGATTGGGGAGGCGGGTTTCATGTTTTTATGTTTGAATACTATTCCTGTTGTTTTTTCTGAGGTAAGGGAGAAGCCCCATTTGTCAGCCCATTGTTGTATTTTATTAAGAGATTTTTGGAGTAACTTTTGGGCCATTTTAATGCTTTTAGTGCGGATCCAGAGGGCTCCATCATCCGCGAATTTGAATGTGTTTATTTTAGGGGATAGACCCTCGAAGAGATCGTTTATCATTATATTAAAGAGTGTGGGGCTGAGGATACTGCCCTGGGGAGTGCCATTTTCTAGAGGACACTGGTCCGATAGAGTATGGTCTATCCCCACTGTTATTTTACGTTCGTTTAGAAAGTCCTGAATGTAGTTGATTATTTGTCCTTTTAGTCCTATTTTTTAAAGTTTTTGTATAAGCCCTAATTGTAATATAGAAGTTCTTTATCTATGTATCTTATCCTTACTCACCAGTAAGTAAACAAGATGGACAGTGTTCGATTCGCGACATGGGTAGAATGCGTTAAGTCCATTAGTGGTGTTCCCCCTGCCCCCAAATCCTCTCTTTCATTCGTAGATGCTGAATTCTTTTGTTCGAGCGTCAAACAATGTTACATTAAGCCCAACTCATTTACTCACACCATCGTGACAATAGGGATTAAATTCTGTATGACAGGCGTTTCGTTAAAATGCTTTATACTTCCCTACTATTGCAGGTGTTTCTGTCAACAGAAGATACCGAAATCCCTGGTTTAAGAACCTATCTGCAGGAGCTAGTTTGGGAAAAGCAGAAAAAACACAGGATGTCTCTGCAAAATGATTTCCAGGCAATCATATATGGCATACTGATGTATCTGATCAATTCAAAAAGAGGAAGGAAGGTTAGCTATACTATTCTGTGATACTATAATTCTGCTACTTATAAGTGATTAAAAATATTACATGGCAGCAGTTATGGTCGAAAAATGTCGCCGAAGTTCAGAAGCACGCAACAGAAACAGCCAAAACTTTGTTCTCAACAACAAGTAAATGGAGACACAATTTTGTCATGTGTGTGAAGGGCAAAGACGTCCCTTGCCGTCTATGGCGCTGCAGTTCGATTCCTTAGATGTGCCAGGCCCCACATATCTCGAGTTCGAGTTCCAGATATCTTGATTTGTCAGCACCGTATCAAACGTCAGTTTCAACATTTACACCCAGACGAAGGTGACATATATGTAGAAATATAGCAAAAATGACTTAAATGTGAGCGATGGATTCAGCTGGCTCTTGAACAAGATTCGACCCGTGATGATCCGGGGTAGAATAGTTCTTCAGCAACCCACGCTTGCCGTAGAAGGCGACTATGCCTGTCGTAAAAGGCGACTAACGGGATCGGGTGGTCAGGCTCGCTGACTTGGTTGATGCATGTCATCGATCCCAATGGCGTGGATCGATGCTCATGATGTCAATCACTGGATTGTCTGGTCCAGACTCGATTATTTACAGACCCCCGTCATATAGATGGAATTTTGCTGAGTGCGGCGTAAAACAACAAACCAAACCAACTTGAACTAGATTCAGGTCCACCAATATTTCCTTGTGCCAAAGATAAAGCAAGTATGTTATCAATAGGTTTTGGAAACAATAGATGTCAAACGGACGTCGAGCAGACAAGGTAAATATAAGTACATATACATATTTCTTATCTCTTAATTCAGGCCCTGAAGGAAGAGCTGAAACGTCATCTTGACACATTACGAGATGAAGGACAATTAATACTAAATGAGTTAGACTCCCACCTGCAGTCGTCATGGTTTGCCGTCCTGGATGCAACTCTTGATGAAGCAACACAGGAAGCGATAAGACGGGCAAGACACGCAGTTGAATTGTGGGCAAGACCGGTAGGTCTGCTTAGCATTCTGGTATCTGAGCTATCGACATCAAACAAAAGACACCTGATTGAAATATATAAACCATTCACAATACATGTCGTGATGAAAGGGAAATTAAACACTCATCAATATATGAAGCAAACGTTTTCACATTGGTCATATTTATTTGATCTTAAGAAGACACATCTTACATGGTTAAAGTAATACATGTTGATATGAGAGTTTTCGGAATGTAAGTCATATCATGAATGTAGTTGCACAGAAGAACACTGTATTGTATTTGCTATATGCAGTTACTGTATTTCATCCTAAAGTTTAAAACCCGTGAATTTTCCGAGTAGAATAGATCTTCAGCAACCCATGCTGGTCAGACTCGCTGACAAGGTTGATGTTATCATCGATCCCAATTGCGTGGATCGATGCTTATGATATTAATCACTGGATTGTCTGGTCCAGACTCGATTATTTACAGACCGCCGTCATATAGCTGGAATATTGCTGAGTGCGGTCTTAAACAACAAACCAAACCAAAACCTAAAGTTTAAAGGCACCATAAAGCAGTTAGGTTATTAGTAGAAGGTTGCTGCTTTGAGAATAAGTTAAAATACAATGAAAGCATGTAATATTTGTTTTAAACCTTTTAAATAATTCTAATATTGTGACATGCCTTAATAAGGTAAACAAGAGACAGAGAGGACAGGGAGGGTTGCATAGCAACACCTACAAGGCAACTGTGCGCCGATTGGGAATCTTTAGATCATCTGGGATTGGATACATCATTAATATGAATCAAGACCTTGCAGATCCGTTTGTAAAGATTCTCTCGAAGGAATGGACGCCTCGTTTCAGGTAAGTGTGGACAACATGTGCCGTAGACAGATGATTCGATCGTTTATTAATTCTTACACTAAAAGAAACTATCATCCTCATTTCATAAACACATGTTGTTTCAGTGAACAGGCATGGATTGTAACTGTGCAAAGCAAAATAAAAGAACCTGCTTCCATCGCCATAACTCGCTTCACAGAAGCCATCATGAAATCCCTTGGTGACAGTGACGCAACACTTCTAAAAGATCTGACTCAGTTGAAGACAGATACACTTGGAAAAGTAAGATATATAAGTATTATAATATATATTTCTTTAGTTTCATGATTTGTAGTCTGTTTGTTGTTTAACGCTGCACTCAGCAGTATACCAGCTATATGACGGCGGTGTGTAAATATTCGATTCTGGAACAGACAACCCAGTGATTGATATCATGAGTATCGATGCACGCAATTGGGATACGATGACATGCATCAAACATGTCAGTGAGCCTGGCTACCCGAGCCCGTTAGTCGCCAATTACGGCAAGCATAGTCACCTCTTACGGCAAGAATGGGTTGACCTATTCTCTACCCAGATCTTCCCGACTCTTTTGGTCGATTTAATGAAATAGCAACATTTATGTTTCTTAACAGTCTTTATCATGACCTTGTTTCATTTATTTATTGTTGATGTTGACAATAATAATTATAACATAGTTGTTATGTACAGCCTATTTCATATGTAGCCAAATGTCTTCATAAATATATACTCATTTGTTCACAGTTAACAAGACTGGATTCACTCTGGGAGAAAACAATAGACAGGCAACAAAGAGCAGTAACGCACATGATTACAGACTTCGTACAGGTAGGATAACCTTCGCGGTTACCATTTAGCAAATACGTTTTTTTATGAACAGAGAAATATAAATAACCATGGGGATATCAGGTTAGACTAGGTTACCTGCAATCTATAACAGGCGACCAAATCGATAGTGTTGTCAGGCTCTGTGGCTTGGCTGATTGGATGTCATCGTACTCCGGTGACGTGGGTAGTTTTTCCTCATATCAATCACTGGATTGTCTGGTCCAGACTTGATTATTTTCAGGTCGCCATCAATATTGCTGAGTTAAACAACAAACACACACTCAAAAATAAACAAATAGTGTAAAATATACTAAAGCTTAAAGTCAGGACCTGTTCTTTAATATAAATGAGGTGTCCTGAAATGTCTCAACGTATCTAATCAATTACATATATTATATTGTATGTCAATAAATATAATCTATGATTAAATCTATTTCTGTCAAAGGAACAAATGAAGGGTGCATACGAGCTATGTATGAAAGAAGAAGGTCCCGGGGCTTTCAACAGAATGAAAGACATCATGGCAAACACCATTGACCAGTTGAAGAGTAACATGTTTCAGCAGCTGAAGAACAAAATCACAGTGTCTCTGGATCAACTGAAGGTGACATATTAACTCGTTTTGCATGTGATAAACATTAAGTGGGCACTCAGCATTACAGCAATAGTCCAGCTATATGACGTTGATCGGTAAATAATCGGGTCTGGACCAGTGATTAACATCTTGAGCATCGACCTACGCAATTGGGATACGATGACATTCATTAACTGATCCTGACCCCCGAACCCGATAGTCGCCTCTGACGACAAGTATAGTTGCCTCTAACGACAAGCATGGATTGCTATTCTAACCTGGATATTCACTTGTATGGCTGGTAAAGTGTCAAGTCCTTTTTCGTTTACGTGCCAAACCTTTAAATGGTGAACGTGGATAGGAATGCTCTCAAGATGTGCAGTTAATTGTTTTCAAATTACAGAAAGGTTTTATAAGTGGAGCGAAGGAAATTCTGGAGGACATTGTTGAAGACACTGAGAAGCAGATAATGCCTCTGTGGCAGACACAGGATGAACCCATCTATTTGGAAAGTAAGTGTTGTACACGCCATTATGAAGATAATTGCGATGATCAAATTCTTCAGGAGTGCCGATGCATGATCAGCATCATGTGTTTGTTGTTTTCTGTTTCAGCTCTGGACAAATCTGAGGGTTTGATCCAAACTCTCAGTGAAGATTTTGCAAAGTACAAAAACGGTCTGCATGAACCAGGTTTGTAACAATGGATTAGTAATGCGAGACATGAAAACCGTGTCGAATGAACTTATCTCGTGGCCTTCTTGTCCGATGTCATCGGTGTCTGCATCTCTAAGCATCATTCCTCAGCATCATTCCTCAGCAATCATTCCTCAGCATCATTCCTCAGCATCATTCCTCTGCAACCAATGGAAAACCAATGAATGTGTTCAAGAGTTTGGAATGCGATTATCAGTATGGCTGTCATTGCAGGCTACTTATCGTGTTGTCCCAACAATATGTTGATACACTGTGACTTCAATAAGGTATTGTTCAAAAGCAAAACAAGTGTGATAATGTACACATTAGTACATTAAGTATATCATGGCATGTCAGCGTAACCTAAGTTAAAGGCCAAAGTGTTTATTGTTTATTTATATGTTGTTTACGCCGCACTCAGCAATAGTCCAGCTATATGACGGCGGTCTGTAAATAATCGAGTCTGGACCAGACAATCCTGTGATTGAAATCTTGAGTATCGATCCACGCATTTGGGATACGATGACATGCATCTACCAAGTCAACGAGCCTGACCACCCGATCCCGTTAGTCGTCTCTTACGACAAGCTTAGTCGCCTTTTGCAGCTAAAATGCATATGGGTTGCTGAAGACGTATTCTACCCCGGATCATCACAGGTATAAAGTCCAAAGGCATGTAGATCGTAGACGACAATATTTGAAGAACGTGAGCCGAAATATGTAATAATTCCTTTGTCCCTGCTAAATTGGACTGGACGATATAAATCCTTATGTTGGCTGTAACAGTTACAGGTCACATTCATTTAACTATATGTACCGTTATAAACCTATAACATTAAGAAAACATTGATGAACAATATAGTCCTGGTGGAATTATATTACTCTCTAATGATGCCTATATATATCAGACTGTCATCAGAGCAGCAGTTCGTTGAAGAGACAAGCTGGTGATATTCCAACTTTCCCTGTGCCAGGGTCGAAACTCGTAAAACTGGTACGTATTTTTTTCTAAATTGACTCACCTTTTAAGAGGACATGTATTTTATTCCACTCTCAGTGAACTAAACAGAGTAATACGTTTCACCAGTTTTGCATTGATGTCACAGATTCAGTGTCTGTTTGACCTATTAGCCTGAGATAAATCAGTGCTAATAAATATATGCAATACGGGGAAGACCCTTTATGGGTGAATGGACACGACTACCTTGAAAAGTCGCCTCGTACCTAGTGAATATCTTCATACAGCCGTGTCAGTTGTTTTCAGCAAATAATTAACGAAGCAATTTAATCATGAAGGACCCATTGCAGACAATTACTAGACAACACTATCTGTCCGCAAAAACCTCCAAGCTCCAATATTCATTCAGTTTGGCCCTCACTGTATAAAGGTTCATTCTCCAATGAACTAATCAGAAGTGAAAGTCAATTTTTAATTCTCTTTCAGAGCGAAGAACGCGAAAAATCTGGTCCGGAATAATTCCCATGGCAATAACCTACATCGTCATGCTGCATCAGGTACATTGCAAGCAGAAGGATTTACAGATGTATAGGACTCCTCAATTAATGTATATCAGGTGCTCCTCTGAGAATGAGATAGTAGAAGTTACTGCGCTATTAATCCTTGGTTTATTTAGAAATATTCATATTCCTCTTCAACTATGTAACACTATTTCAACGTTAACACGTGTGCATTTCTTTCTTACATGTGCATTATTACGTTTTGAATATGTTCATGTATCCTTCCCAGCAAACATGGCGAATAATAAGGTCCATCAAATGTTCTATCATTTTGTCACCATGCTGTGGAATACTCACATTCACATCGTGTATGTAGCTTATCAAAAACATAAGCTGGAATCTTCAAAATTCAATTCTTTGAATTTCCATTGGAGCAGTGTGTCATGACCTTCATGTCCTACTTCTGTTCTTGTCCAACAATGTATATCATGAGGTTGTCCTCTCTGCAAAATATAATAGGAAGTTACTGACCTTTTAATCCATAGTTTAATTGCCTTTGTTTATATTCTTCCCTTCAACTATAAAACACTAAGTCAACACGTGTCTATAATTTTCTTCAATTTTCATTATTAAATTTTCAATGGTTAAATTATGACAGTCCCCCAAAAATGCATATGAGAAATGTTTAAATTTTGAATACATTTTGTTCCAAGAAGTCGAAATGACGGAATAGTTAGCACACTCGTATATGGATGGATGTAATAGCTCATATTGCCCTTAAAAAGTTTTGGCCAATGGAAATGCGTAATGGGGCACAGAACGTCTTAAAAAGGCTCAACCGTGGGCAAACTTAGTGTTTAATCGTGACTGAATTATTACAGTACGAATACACTGTATCAACTTGGAACAGTAATAATATATTTAAAAATATATTTAGATCTGTTTTAGCTGCAGTGATGTGTAGTTAAATTCGGATTCCAAGTTGGAGAAGATTTTGAAACAGGTTTTCATACTGAGGGTGGAAAACGCAATTGTATACTGGATTTGATCTATTTGAATTCAATTTTGTAATGTATTGCAGTGAAAGTTTAATGCGACGCTGTTCGAGTGAAGGTTCACCAGCCTCCACATACAAACTGTCCACAGGAGAGGTCCTAAAAGCTCCAAGACAGAGCCTTAGGCCTTGATGGTGTATAGTGTCCCATTTTTCTAAATTGCTTTTGCAGGCTCCACCATAGACAATTGAACCAAAGTCCAGTTTGGAGACAATTAGCGATCTGTACAAGTGAAGGAGGGTGGTCTGATCCCCTCCCCACTCGGGATTTGAAACGACTTTCAACAAGTCGAGAGCCTTCAGGCACTTTGCCTTTAGATATTTGATGTGTGGTAAGAATGTCAGATGACGGTCAAATGTGGGGTCCAGGAATTTGGCCGCTTCTATCACCTTGATCTAAAAATAAAACTGGATCCTTATTCTGTTTGTATTTACGACAACAGCAAATAGAGTTTCGTTTGGATTTAGAAAATTTGAAGCCGTTTTCGTTCGCCCATTTTTGAATTTTGTTAAGACAGAGCTTTAGCTGTCTTTCTAATGTATTCATATTCTTACCACTAGAAATGTTGAAATCGTCCTCAAAAAGTAAACCATCAACGCTATTCTTCAATACTTTAGTAAGACAATTAATTTTGATGCAGAAACGTGTGTTTGATAATAAGCTGCCTTGAGGGACGCCCTGATCTTGATTGAAATGATCAGACAGGGTAGAGCCCACTCGTACTTGAAATTATCTGTTGTTTGAAAATTGAGATATAAACTGAGGTAATCTGCCCCTCAATCCAAATTCATGCAAATCTTTTAAAATACCATGTTTCCACGTTGTATCATATGCCTTCTCTAGATCGAAAAAGATTGATACAATATGTTGTTTGTTGATAATGGGATTTTAAATAAATGATTCTAAATGCACCAAATCGTCAATGGTACTTCTGGTTTTTCGGAAATCTCACTAGATTTTACTGAGGAGGTTATTGGTCTCCAAGTATCAGACTAATCGATTGTTAACCATGCGCTCCAATAGTTTTACAAACACAGCTAGTTAATGAAATAAGACGGTATTAGTACTCCCCCATAGGGGATTATGACCGTTTAAATCGCCCATGATGATACAGGGCTTCGGGAGCTGATTGTGTTCTTCTTTGGTAACATACAGGGCCTCCACATTAGTCTCTAACTTGGTCACTGTAACTCTTCATAAGACGGAAAAGACATTTTATTGTATGAAGAACTGTTTGTAGGTCGATATATGGTTTGTATGTGTTGAGGGAACAGTTGTAGAAGTCACATTCACTCTTCTACCCAGAGTCACTATAGGTCACCCTGGTACAACTGCCACGGGCCAGCGAGATGTGGCGACTCGTCAAATCTCACACAGCTCATTCAACAAATTAAATGTTTGTTTTATTTAATCTATATAATTTTTAAACTGTCTACATATTCAGGAAAAAACATTTGTTATAGAATCATGGTTAACTGTCTTTGGGAAAATGTCATCGGACGTAAAAAACTATTTCCATTTGAATTAATACACACAGAAGGCCCCTTCTAAATATACCTTAAATAAAGGTATCTCTTTATTCAAGTAACTTAGGTAGTTACTCAGAAAACGTCCCCACTTCACACAGTAAGTTGAAATAGGTGAGGTGAGGCACAGGAGTCCGTATCTAAAAATAGACGCCCTCATGCATATTCATGACCATCTCCACACGCGAGCCCGAAGGGCGAGAAGGAATGCAACAGAAAACTACTGCAGGGCCCGACTCGATTTTTCAACAAATTACTACGAACGATAGATTATACCCACACTGACACTACAGTTACCGATTGCTTTTCTAACTTGTGAACGGCATTTTCGCCAGTTTGGTACGTTAAAAACACCCACCTATACATCACAATTTAATTAAAATATATACAAGCATCGGACACGAAGCTGAGTCCGTCTTTCATACTTGCACGACTTCCGGAATGATACGGACTGAATGAAGAGACAATTTGAAGGTGAGTGAATTTTACATCTAAAAAATATATTCTTCTACAAAATGAAATAAATTATTTTTTCATGTCATAAGAATTATTGATGGCAACAGCAAATATCTGGATATATTTTTTTAAATATATAATTCACCGCTACTAAGGGAGGCAACTCTGTACTGGATCTACGAAAAGTCCGCGTAATGTGAAAATGACGTTATCGATGTCTATTTCTTGTAAATGGTTGAAAACACTAATGTCATTAGTTGGTAAGTGACAAAATGTTACACTAGAATTCATTTCAATACACTACTAGCGTATTGCATGTGATGTCAAGACATCATTTTGTTTCAATCGCAAAGAATATTTTTCTCTGTACCACTGACTTACAGCCGTGTCGGGTAATGCTGCGTTTTGATATTTTCGCGTTAAAAATGAATTACAAGTAAAATCATCTGACAATATCTTTTTGTATTGTAACAAGGTTTATTTCACTAAAAAGGAAAATCGGATGGATAAAATCGCGATCTGATAGAACGTCGAACTTGGTTTTGCTTAGTGGCGATAAGGGGGGTTACGAGAAAGGCCGCTTACGCAAATAAAAAAAAATCCAAAAAATTATTGAACATCAGTTATCTACCCATGAATGTTTCCTTCTTTGAAATAATACAACATGGACCAGTTATTTGAAGTAACTACGAAGTAGCAGGCAATATTTCGTTGATCTTGACACTTCCGGCGATCACGAAAACAGGGGGGTTGCCCCCGTTTAGTTGGAGATTTCGCAAATTCTACACATAAAGATACTTGTAAATTGTTATAATGCTATGAACCAGATGCTATTTAAATATTTTATCCAAAAAGATTGGGATTTTGTCTCAATTTTGGGAATAAAATCAGTTTTATCAGGCTTAGGTGCTTACCCGACAGCACTGTAACACATACACACAGGGACTCGGACAGGCCTGTTTGATTCCTATATTTTACACGATACAATACGATGACAATGTATGAGTTGATCTTTTGGAAACAAATAATGACTGACGTTATTTTCACGCTCATAAGATCTTCTATATCTTCTTTCAAATGGAGTTGTGGTTCCGAACAAAACATGCCACAACAACTACAGTAGGCTACGTTCACAGCTTGACAGTTGGAAATAATTGAACATTTAAGTCAGCAGTGTTATTCTCACATAAATACCCAAAATATGTATGTTTTCTGTCTCTATATACACACCCCTTTACTAACCCTTATTAAGTTTCCCCTTTCACATTATTATACAAATTATTCATGCAAATCTGTTATTTTACAGTATACTGTATACCAGGTAGTATTTAAACAAGCTAAATGTCTGTGCTGGCCCAATTTACTATCATACTTTCCTTACTGGCAATGCAATGCAACATTTACATGTCCAAATAGAACATAACGGCACTGAAGTCAAACTAGCTGAACCGACTGTATAGATACAGTATTCTGAGATTTTATGTAAACTGCAAAGAAACAAACAAAAAATTAAAGTTCAACAGACAAATGTTTATTCAAGAATACAATAATGGTTATTTTGTAATCATTTCCAAAAAATACTGCCTTTGATCATGACTTAAGTAATGTTGTGAATTGCGTTAATCAAAGTATCATACATCATATCTGGCCAAAACATTTATGTCTGTTTCACAACTAATAATAGCATCCTTCTTCAGTGGGGCTACGCTTTCATGCATTGTGCATAATTATTATTCATGTATACACTGTCAAAAAAAATGTTCAAATTATGAATCTTTATTGATAATAATTGAGTGAGTGAGTTTGATTTTATGCCGCTTTTTGCAATATTCCAGCAATATCACGGCGGGGTACACCAGAAATGGGCTTCACACATTGTACCCGTGTCGGGAATCAAACCCGGGTCTTAGGCGTGACGAGCGAACGCTTTAACCACCAGGCTACCCGACCACCCTTATCGATAATAAACAATGAATTGAATGAGAAAACACATCACATCATCATAATGGATGTGGCATTAAATCAACTGAAAACATTCTTAATGGGAAAGATACTGAACATACTAGGTGACATGTACAACAAGTTATCTGCTTGTGTGAGAACAGAAAGTGGATTATTAAATTACTTTAGCTGCAACATTGGTACCCTGTATATTAAGCCATATGAGGGCGAATAACTCTTCAATCATGAAAACAGTACACAGTTAATGTAATAAATACGACTAAAGCAGTGAAATACTAGTGAAGAACATACATTTAGACTATTCAAGACTTCCTAATCAAGCATAATTCATGATTGGTAATAATTTCAACTTACTAATTGATTACTAAGTACTATTGAGACATAGCAATATTCCACTTTGCAAATATGTTAATTTTGTTCAACGAAAACAAACGTATTTGTTGAGAATGAATATCATATGCTTCTATGTTGTGAGATACAACAATCTTTGGAAAACATATCTTCACCAGCATTTCTATTTAAATCCCAAATTCAAAAAATGTATTAAGCTGATGCAACACTATCCAAGCTATAGCCCAATTGCTAATTTCTTATGTAAAGTTGACAATACAAGGCGAACTGAGGGAATAATTTACACCTGAATAAATATATCTATATTCAGTACTTACGAGGGGTGTTCATTAAAGATTTCCCCTTAACCACTTAGGGTTATCATATTTGGTTGAAATTTCACATGTGTAATGATACATGTATCTATGGGTTATGTCTTAATTTGCAGCACCAAACTATTAATCTTACCACTTTTACAGGTGTTATGAGTGAGTGAGTGAGTTGGGTTTAACGCCGCTTTTAACAGTATTCCAGTTATATCGCAGCGTGTCAGCTTAATGTGGGAGGAAAGCCCGAAGTGATGCAGGTCTCAGACGTTTACCACTTCGGTGAAACCCACGAGCACGGGTATGGTGCTGACAAACCTAGAAACACAATCGGGGCGAACCGGGATTCGAACCCACAATAATAGGTTTCTGGCGTGCCAAGGGGCGCAACTCTGCACAGCGAATCGCGGCGCTTTAGACGACTGGGCCACCCGTGCCCCCCTACAGGTGTTATGATCGAGTAGGGTGTGACAATGGAGCCAGTAGAATACAGAGCAGTGATTAGGTTTTTATATTTGAAAGGTCGCACACCAAAAGAAACTTTCGATGAAATGAAAGCAACTTATGGGGAAGATGCCCAATCATATGACGTTGTTAAACACTGGCATCGCCAGTTCAAGTGTGGTCGGACATCTGTGGAAACAGCTGCCATTCCTGGTCGCCCCCATTCAGCCATTGATGAGGACGCTATCCATCAAGTGGAGACCGCCATTTTGGCAGACCGACGTATAACTGTTCGCCAGTAAGCACAAGATGTCAAGATCAGTGTAGGGTCTGTGGAAAAATAATCCATGACAATTTGAACATGCATAAGGTGTCTGCACGATGGATTCCCAGGTTGCTCACACCTTTCCAAAAGCAGGAACGAGTCAATTGCTCAAAGGATCTTTTGGACATGTGCCAAAAAAACCCAGGCAAACTTTTTTGACAGACTTATCACACAGGATGAAACATGGGTTTATCACTATGATCCTTAGACTAAAGTTCAGTCAATGCAATGGAAGCATGTGGAGTCAACCACCCCCAAAGAAGGCACGTGTCCAACCCTCTGCAGGCAAGTTCATTCTCGCGGTGTTTTGGGACCAGCACAGAGTAGTGATGATGGATTTCTTGGCAAAGGGTACCACAATTACAGGAGCTTATTATGCTTCACTGCTGCGGAAATAGCGGGACGCTATCAAGCTTAAGAGGTGTGGCATGCTGACCAAGGGTGTCCGTCTCCTGCAAGACAATGCTCCAGGACACAACTCTCATGTTGCCCAGACAGAAGCGCGGTCCTGTGGCTATGAAATCCTTCCACATCCTCCTCACTCTCCTGACCTTGCACCATCTGAATTCCACCTCTTTCCAACCATGTCGTATCTTCAACATCGACCACATTCCTTTGTTCAGAAGTGATAATGCTTGCTCTTTTTCCACCTCTCACTCAATAATCCACATTGTCAACTTTGAGGATATTTTCTTCTCAACAGTTATTTTTTCAACATCGACCACATTTCTCTCTCTTTGTTCAGAAGTGATAATGCTTGCTCGTTTTTCCACCTCTCACTCAATAATCCACATTGTCAACTTTGAGGATATTTTCTTCTCAACAGTTATTTTTTCAACATCGACCACATTTCTCTCTCTTTGTTCAGAAGTGATAATGCTTGCTCGTTTTTCCACCTCTCACTCAATAATCCACATTGTCAACTTTGAGGATATTTTCTTCTCAACAGTTATTTCATCACAATGACTGAGGTTTTTACTCAATGACAGGTGCTCTGGAGAATTTAGAAAAGTAGTTAACTTGGTGATGGCCTCCTGCCACTGAGAAGCTTTGTCAATAATCGTACCTGACCGCTGAATGAGGAGCTTATTGACTTGATGTTCCAAAACAACAAAGTGCTGTTGAAGATTTGCTGCCAATGGATTCAGAATAATTTTCTGCTTATCTCTTTTTGATACAGTCTTCAAAAAGTCAACCAGCAGCAGATGAGTTCTTGTCTTATCATCTTCCGCCAGTTCCGGAACTTCTACAGCAGGTGCCTGCGCAACTAATGGTTCAGCTTCATCTTCAGCAGCATCATCCACATCCCTATCGTCACCATCACTATCATCTCCACTTTCGGTTTCCTTCATTTCATTGTAGTTTCTGTCCTTCTTGCAGCATGTTAGGTCAGTCATTGTTGGAAAAAAGGGCGCATCATAGAAATGATAAACTTCATCTGTGTGTTGTTTTGATGCAACATCTTCCCTGTAATTCTTCACCTGTAGACCCTCTTTGCTGATGCATCTCCCTACAGCTACACCAAGTTGTCCCGGAAGGAAATAGCTTTCACAATCAACTATGAGAGGGTCGATGGTCATACCCTGAGCTCGATGTACTGTCAAAGCAAAGGCAAGGCGTAAAGGGATCTGTTTTCTGTTGGCTCGCACTTTCTTTTGGTTAGAGTCATAAATTTCAAAGTTGAGGGGTTCAACAAGTACACATAGGCCATCAAAATCAACAACTGGACCCTTGTCTGTGAAAGAAAGAACAGTTCCTTTTGAACCATTCACCAAAGAATGTTTCACATTTCTTATGAGGATAACAGGTGCTCCCACTTTCAACTGTAAGTTCTTCTTCGCTTGACATCGCTGCCGCAACAGTGTCTCACCCGAGTCCAGCGCTCTATATCATATTATGTTTTCCCCATCTTCATGCAGTGCCATCTGATTTTCATATTCTACATCAAAATTTGTCCCAAAGAGCAAGGTTGGTCTTTTGTTTGTGTTGAGTGGTCTATTGAGATTCTTCATTAGTGTATGAGTTTCCTCCGATGGGCGTCCATTACAGAGTTCATTGATGGCGACAATCAAATCTTGGAAATTTAGGTGGTGAGGAAATATATGTTTGAACACACATGACTGAAAGCAGAAAAGTCCTGGATCATTATGAAAGTGGTCAGGAACTGGAGGAAGTTGCTTGAAATCTCCACAAGCAATGATCTGTTAGCCACCAAACCAATGTTCTTTACTGCGGCAATGACTGCATACATATTCAAGAACCTCAAACAGTTTAGCGCTGAGCATTCCTATTTCATCAATGATGAGAACTTCTGAAATGGTTATGTTTTTGAGGCAATTCCCATATGCATCATTGCTGAGTACGTTAGTAAGGACCTCCTCCTTGGAAAATCTTCCATCAAACAGCCCAGCCCAGTGATGCAGCGTCTCTCCTCCCAAATCCTGTTTTCTGTTGGCTCGCACTTTCTTTTGGTTAGAGTCATAAATTTCAAAGTTTAGGGGTTCAACAAGTACACATAGGCCATCAAAATCAACAACTGGACCCTTGTCTGTGAAAGAAAGAACAGTTCCTTTTGAACCATTCACCAAAGAATGTTTCACATTTCTTATGAGGATAACAGGTGCTCCCACTTTCAACTGTAAGTTCTTCTTCGCTTGACATCGCTGCAGCAACAGTGTCTCACCCGAGTCCAGCGCTCTATATCATATTATGTTTTCCCCATCTTCATGCAGTGCCATCTGATTTTCATATTCTACATCAAAATTTGTCCCAAAGAGCAAGGTTGGTCTTTTGTTTGTGTTGAGTGGTCTATTGAGATTCTTCATTAGTGTATGAGTTTCCTCCGATGGGCGTCCATTACAGAGTTCATTGATGGCGACAATCAAATCTTGGAAATTTAGGTGGTGAGGAAATATATGTTTGAACACACATGACTGAAAGCAGAAAAGTCCTGGATCATTATGAAAGTGGTCAGGAACTGGAGGAAGTTGCTTGAAATCTCCACAAGCAATGATCTGTTAGCCACCAAACCAATGTTCTTTACTGCGGCAATGACTGCATACATATTCAAGAACCTCAAACAGTTTAGCGCTGAGCATTCCTATTTCATCAATGATGAGAACTTCTGAAATGGTTATGTTTTTGAGGCAATTCCCATATGCATCATTGCTGAGTACGTTAGTAAGGACCTCCTCCTTGGAAAATCTTCCATCAAACAGCCCAGCCCAGTGATGCAGCGTCTCTCCTCCCAAATCCTGTTTTCTGTTGGCTCGCACTTTCTTTTGGTTAGAGTCATAAATTTCAAAGTTTAGGGGTTCAACAAGTACACATAGGCCATCAAAATCAACAACTGGATCCTTGTCTGTGAAAGAAAGAACAGTTCCTTTTGAACCATTCACCAAAGAATGTTTCACATTTCTTATGAGGATAACAGGTGCTCCCACTTTCAACTGTAAGTTCTTCTTCGCTTGACATCGCTGCAGCAACAGTGTCTCACCCGAGTCCAGCGCTCTATATCATATTATGTTTTCCCCATCTTCATGCAGTGCCATCTGATTTTCATATTCTACATCAAAATTTGTCCCAAAGAGCAAGGTTGGTCTTTTGTTTGTGTTGAGTGGTCTATTGAGATTCTTCATTAGTGTATGAGTTTCCTCCGATGGGCGTCCATTACAGAGTTCATTGATGGCAACAATCAAATCTTGGAAATTTAGGTGGTGAGGAAATACATGTTTGAACACACATGACTGAAAGCAGAAAAGTCCTGGATCATTATGAAAGTGGTCAGGAACTGGAGGAAGTTGCTTGAAATCTCCACAAGCGATGATCTGTAAGAGAACACCATCATAGAGAAATGAAAGTCATTACACATTGACAACCTCTCACAAAGACTTTGTCACGGGTTCAATTGACACATCAATAGTTCTCATTCTAATGTGTAGTGTCATTCTCGGATTTCCTTTTCCTTGATGTAGATGGGCCTGGTTTATCAGAGAATGCAGCTATCTTTGATCTTAATGGTTGTTTCTTCTTCCTCGGCAATAATGCTTTAAATAATTTCACAGAGTCTACAAGATTAATCTTCAAGTAGTGGTCACAAATATCAACAAATAGGTCGTGTAAAAGAGAATGAAAAACTGGAACATAGTCATCATCTTCTGATTTGGTGTCATCAATTTCAAACAGTTTTAGCCGGTCACTGAATAGTTCAGGATCAGAGAGTACTGCCTCCTTTGTACAACGATGAATATCATCATGACGTAGATGGAGTATGTTCACAGTGATATTGGACTGCACAGATTTGTGGAGTTTTAAGAAGAAGTTGAAGGTACTGTCGGCAACATACATTAAACCCCTTGATTGACCTTGTTTAAAGTCTATTTCTGACAGGCTGGATTGATCTTTTGTTTGTTCTTTCACTTCCATTTCCGACACTCTCAGCTGAGATATAAGCTTCTGTTTTCGGAAATCCATGCTACCTTTATGACGACACTTTTTAGTCAAGGAATCCAGTTTAGTCATGACTGAAGAACGAAGGCGCTTCCTGACTGCATGAATGCAAGCCCCCGCAAGATGTCTGATCTTTGCCCTCGCTACCTCTGTCGTATCTTCTACATCGACCACATTACTCTCTCTCTGTTCAGAAGTGACAATGCTTGCTCGTTTTTCCACCTCTCGCTCAATAATCCACATTGTCAACTTTGAGGATATTTTCTTCTCAACAGTTATTTCATCACAATGACTGAGGTTTTTACACAATGACAGGTGCTCTGGAGAATTTAGAAAAGTAGTTAACTTGGTGCAGGCCTCCTGCCACTGAGAAGCTTTGTCAATAATCGTACCTGACTGCTGACTGAGGAGCTTATTGACTTGACGTTCCAAAACAACAAAGTGCTGTTGAAGATTTGCTGCCAATGGATTCAGAATAATTTTCTGCTTATCTCTTTTTGATACAGTCTTCAAAAAGTCAACCAGCAGCAGATGAGTTCTTGTCTTATCATCTTCCGCCAGTTCCGGAACTTCTACAGCAGGTGCCTGCGCAACTAATGGTTCAGCTTCATCTTCAGCAGCATCATCCACATCCCTATCGTCACCATCACTATCATCTCCACTTTCGGTTTCCTTCATTTCATTGTAGTTTCTGTCCTTCTTGCAGCATGTTAGGTCAGTCATTGTTGGAAAAAAGGGCGCATCATAGAAATGATAAACTTCATCTGTGTGTTGTTTTGATGCAACATCTTCCCTGTAATTCTTCACCTGTAGACCCTCTTTGCTGATGCATCTCCCTACAGCTACACCAAGTTGTCCCGGAAGGAAATAGCTTTCACAATCAACTATGAGAGGGTCGATGGTCATACCCTGAGCTCGATGTACTGTCAAAGCAAAGGCAAGGCGTAAAGGGATCTGTTTTCTGTTGGCTCGCACTTTCTTTTGGTTAGAGTCATAAATTTCAAAGTTGAGGGGTTCAACAAGTACACATAGGCCATCAAAATCAACAACTGGACCCTTGTCTGTGAAAGAAAGAACAGTTCCTTTTGAACCATTCACCAAAGAATGTTTCACATTTCTTATGAGGATAACAGGTGCTCCCACTTTCAACTGTAAGTTCTTCTTCGCTTGACATCGCTGCAGCAACAGTGTCTCACCCGAGTCCAGCGCTCTATAACATCTTATGTTTTCCCCATCTTCATGCAGTGCCATCTGATTTTCATATTCGACATCAAAATTTGTCCCAAAGAGCAAGGTTGGTCTTTTGTTTGTGTTGAGTGGTCTATTGAGATTCTTCATTAAAGTATGAGTTTCCTCCGATGGGCGTCCATTACAGAGTTCATTGATGGCAACAATCAAATCCGCTTCAGCCTGGCGAACCACTTCTTGGAAATTTAGGTGGTGAGGAAATATATGTTTGAACACACATGACTGAAAGCAGAAAAGTCCTGGATCATTATGAAAGTGGTCAGGAACTGGAGGAAGTTGCTTGAAATCTCCACAAGCGATGATCTGTAAGCCACCAAACCAATGTTCTTTACTGCGGCAATGACTGCATACATATTCAAGAACCTCAAACAGTTTAGCGCTGAGCATTCCTATTTCATCAATGATGAGAACTTCTGAAATGGTTATGTTTTTGAGGCAATTCCCATATGCATCATTGTTGAGTACGTTAGTAAGGACCTCCTCCTTGGAAAATCTTCCATCAAACAGCCCAGCCCAGTGATGCAGCGTCTCTCCTCCCAAATCCTGGTACTGTTTGCTGGCCAGACCTGTGACAGCAGTTATTCCCACTTTCCGTCCAGCTGACTTGAGAGCCTTGATGATATTCCTGTAAAGCAAACAGAACTTTAGTTTCATTCATGCAGATAATGAAAATACAAACCAAACCAAAAATGTTAATGTTTTTCAAAATAATTCAAATCTCTTTCTTAGCTGTATTCAACCTGAAGTTTGTACCTGATTTTGTATTTGAAAATTAAGACTAATGTAAAAACTGAAGACTGAAGCTCACCCCTCTAACAAAGAAAGCTCTTGTAACATTTACAAGACATTTTACATAACCATGGCACTTGTTTTGTAATCAGAGCATCATGGCACTAAACTCATGTTGAATTTGTCAAGGTGAGCTAACAATGTATTAACACACCATAGTGTTGCTCATGTTCTTTTGTATAAATAAAAGCCCAAATTAGAATATTTATGTGCAAATAATATCAGTGCATACAGATATTCAACAAACAGCAGTTCAACAAACTTTCTATCACATTACACATTGACACATGGTCATTAAATGTATATACTACCAGTGATGCTGGAGGACATTCTGAATAATCTCTTGATTTAAACAATGTTTTTAATAAGTTTAGTTATGCACAGTGGCCATTCAGTTTTGCTTAAAACACACATTTTTTTACTTTAGGTCTGACAGTTATATTAGTTTTCATTAAGCTTCATTGTACTTTTCTCTTTGCTTTTAGGTTAACAAAAACAGTTGAATATAGAGAAGAAGGCTGCATATCAGTTGATCAACTACATCATCTTTATTCAGAAAGTTGTAGTAAAGACTCAAGTGTGAGATTATTGTGTAAAGACAAATTTTCTAATGTAATCACAAAAGTTTTTCAAGATGTAAAAAGACGGCGACAATACAGAAATGGAATCCAATGTGTAACATACAATTTAGGAATCAGATATAACCTGCCGAGAGAATCATGTAGTGATCTAGTAAAACTTCCACAAGAATGCACTGTTTTATCCAACAATCAGAAATTGCACCTGAAGTATCCTCTGCAGACCTTAATCAATGGGAAGTTCCAATATACAGAATTCATATTTAAGGAAGAGTTTCAACTAGTCATCAGAGGTCATGTCATAGATCATGTGCATCATGGCATTGAACGCAATCCATCCAGGAACAATCAAAGTATTAATGACCTTGTTTATGCCACACAACAATTCAGACTGTGCAAAGGGAATGTGGTGGATGACAGTTCTTCATATAAACCATCATTCATAGTGAAGGAATCTTGGTCCCTTGTTCATGATGAAAATTCCCACACGTTTCACATCAGGTCCAAATCTTGTAACATTGTACTTGACTGTCTGTCTGTTGGTGAAAGATGTGCCAAATGTAACAGATATTTAAAGAGGGCCAAGTGTATCGTTAACAATGCACAAGCACACAAGGTGAAAACTGAAAGTCAGAAGACCCCATGTCACACTCCTCCTCTGCCTGAACCATGTGAAGCAAACTGTGATCAAACCAGTGACCTCCTACCAACTATTAACTTGGTTCCACAAGATCATGAAGATTTGTTAAAAATATTAGAATCAGAACTACCAAATGCGCCATCAAACTTCAAAATACTACTGGAATCTCAGGTTCAAAATGCAAGAACAGGATTGGATGTACATCGTCGGAGATGGGATCCAAAAGTCATTACGATCTGCCTATCTATGTATTGTAAATCTCCTAAGGCTTATAGCGACTTCAAAGGAAGTGGCGTCCTTGTCCTACCATCCCAGCGCCTTCTTCAATATTACAAGAATTCTGTCAAGCAGTCTCCAGGAATTAATGAGGAGCATCTTACCTGGATGGAAGAAGAAGCCAAGAAGAATGGAATAGAGGGTTTTGGTCGTCATGGTGGTTTGCTCCTGGACGAAATGCAAATTCAAGATGATCTGCAGGTAAGAATAAAATGACAGACCCCAAAGCTACTTTTCTCTTAATTTCAGTGCCATTTTCAATAATTAGCACAGAAATCACATTGGCCAATTACTGCAAGGGGGAATGGCTGCACAACTAGAGTGTTTGAGTGATACAGCCAAGCGGGATTGGAACTTTAGAACACTGCAATATAACCAAAAAACTTTGATAATGAAATTATTTATGACACATGAGTTACAATTATTACTCTCTGAACAACTGAGTGAGCTTTTTTTTGAAACCATGATCATGCTAAAGAGGAATTTTACTTGTTCCAGGAAGAATGTTTCTGCTATTCACTCATTCATGGGATTCTTTTTCAGATTGTCCGTCGTGGGAGTGACTGGTCCCTTGTTGGTGCAGTTGATGTCGGGCCATTATGTAACAACATAAACATCCTCATCAAGAAGAAAAAGAGTGTACAAATGGCAACACATGTCCTGCAATTTGTATTTCATGGCTTGTATGGCTTTAGATGGCCAGTAGCTTATTTTGGTACCAACCCAGGGTTGTCACATCAAATATACTTCAACTTTTGGAAGATTGTAGAGGCCTTGGGTGATCACGACTTCATCGTTGATTATGTCATGCTGGATGGAGCTTCCACTAATAGGGCATTTCAGACCATGCTTCTTGGTACCAAACCATCACTGTTACGACAAGACCTATTTCAGACAACGAATACCTTTGATCACCACCAAATATCCGTGTGTCAAGATATAAAACATGTCTTCAAAAAGCTCAGAAATGGCCTGGAGTCCAGCAAACTAAACTTCAAGTCTTCAAAAGGACGTTACCTTCTGCTTAACACCGAGCACATCATCTGGGAACACTGGGAAGGGGCCTTTAGATTCAATGTCCAAAATGGACTACGGGTACATTATAAACTAACCACAGAACATATTGAACTAACAGCAGCCAACAAGATGCGGAATAAGTTAGCTACAGATGTACTGGACAAGAACATGCTGTACCTGATGCAGTTGTATCAGAGGTCTCTTCCTGATGGTGATTCTCTTAACAGTACTATTGAGCTATTGAAGATTACCAGCCCCCTTGTGGATTTGTTTCATGATACAACACGGCACGTCAAAAGCCTTCATGACGAGAGACTAACACATGTCCGACAAGCCTTAAAGTTCTTCAATGGGTGGGAAGATCAGATTACAAGTTCTACTCAACATCCAAATCAGAAACACCTCTTAACAAGAGAGACAAGAGATGACTTTAACTCCTCCTTGGTTGGCTTCATATCTGTGTGTGAAAATCTGATACCAAATGGCGCTACCATTAATCCAGGCTATTTCAATTCAGACTTGGTGGAGAATTTCTTTTGCCAACAGCGAGGTGTGTGCCATGGCTTGAACAATAATCCAACCCTGTCTCAATATGGCCCTGCTGTGAATGCTGTCTGTATAGGCCAAAGTACAGTGTCCAACAAATGTAACAGTGGATCAAAATCACACATGTTTCGAGCTACAACACCTGGGCCTTTACGGCCGTCTAAGAAGAGAAAAATGTGCTCAAAGACCAACTGACTCATTTCAAGCTGAAACTTCATGCTGCAGTTATGTATTGTTCTGATTTCTGCATGAATAAAGACAATTATTTACAGAAGCTTCAAGGAAAACGTGCAAATGCCATCAGGTTGCAATGTGAACAAAAAACTGTACCAATTATGTGACAAGATCAGACTGGAAAGGAGAAATTGTGGTAAAATTCAGCCAAAAACATGTTCAAATTGGCAGATATTGCCTGACTTTAAAGCTAAAGTTAGCCCTGTCAGATAATTTTCAAGTATACTCTTACACTAAAGTTCACCAATTTCTCACTCTTTATCTATTGCATTTATCATAGTTCCAAAATCATTGTTGGTGTGGGAATGTTTTTAAGGAGGTCTACTTTGGGAGCATCGAAGCTCCACCTGGAAGCCTCCATGTTCCAGTCATAAACAGTCTTGGACATAGCATTATCTGCAGATATTTCCTGATTATGCCTTAAAAAAGCAAGTGAAGGTTTGAAATGGGAATCCAGCATAAAGCAGTAAGTATGGGTGACACTACAATCATGAATTGGCCATGATTATTTTGCAATATGGGCTATAAAAAGGGAAACTACATGAAATTTAACAAAACAGGAAGTGACAATCAGTGGTGAAAGTGGAAGTGTGGACACTTCCAAAGTTAACCGTTTAATCATTCCCACACCAACACTGAGTTTGGAACTATGATAAAAATAATTGAAACAGAGAGAAAAATGGTTAATATTTAATTTAAGAGTATGCTTGGTTACTTGAAAATTGTCTGATTGTACCAACTTTGGCTGTGAACCTGGCCAATTTGGGGCATTTTAGGCTAATATTTTACCACATTTTCTCCTATGGATACATCTACGGTAGTCACATAATTGGCAAAATTTTATGTCTACAATGCAACCAGATGACATTTGCCTGGTTGATCATTTGCCTGGTTGATCATGTTTCTGTAAATACCTGTCTTTAATCATGCAGAAATCACAAAGATTGGGCCTTACTGGAAAAGATTTGAACTGGGAGCGTGGAGGCTCCAGATTTGTGGGAGCCTCCACAATCTAATCTCTGACTGTTAAACCCAGTGGCACAAAGTGCTCGGACAATTATAAGGTTGATCATGAAAAGAAAATGGTTGTAATTATTATCATGAATACTCACCTACCACAATGATATAGACATTGGTACCAACCAAATTATTGTTTACTCTATGATATGCCACATGCAAGTGTATAGTCTTATATTGGTTTGTGAACAGTTTTTTTGTGTTATGTTGATAACTTGTTTATTGCTATCTTCATGATCTGAATCACATGATTGAGATTGTGGATAGAACGGGTTGGAACGAAAAAGACATTCCATTTTGTTATTTCTCATGGATCAGTGTCAAGTGTTTTTATCTCCTGAACAGTCAGTTCGATGTTAACATGTTAGTCTTGTTATTTTTTAGTGTTTTTTATTGTATTGATATAAGTTAAGTATTGTTATGACAATACTATAACTGTAAATTCACTTCAATGCCTGTTCAGTATTGTTAACTTGTTTTTAACATTGGACTCTTCATTGTGAAGTAATCACAAATTTATGACCATTTAGGCTAAAATGTAAAATTTGTAAAAGGTGCTTTGACATTTAATGAAATCAGACATTTCAGTATTATTGGGTGTAGCAAATATCTGTATATGGTTCCAGTATCGTCCATTTATGTCTTCAAATACATGTAATCAGTTCAGTACTAATATTCAAAAGAATTCCCTAGCAATTTATCACTTATGTTTGTGCCATGAACAATTCCTCTTCAGTATTATCAACTGTAACTAGGACCTGTTGTTTGATCAGTTTTTTTGGTGCCATAAAAATGCCAGTTCAGTATTATAAGATGTAACATGTACTGTAGTTTTATATCTTATTTTTAATACCAGTTGACTATAACAAATATATGGGTTTTTTATTTTTGTTTTTGTGACTTCAACAATGTAAGTTGAGTATTATAACTGTAGCTAATACCTGTTTATTACTTTCCACTTAATTAACAGTTATTTTGTGCGCTGAACAATCCCAGCTGAGTATTATGACCTGTAGCTAGTATCTATTGTTTTATGAGTTATGAACAATGCCAGTTCATTATTATAAAATGTAGTGCAAATACCTGCAGTTTTATCAGTTATCATTGGACCATAAAGCCAGTTGACTACTTTTGACTATAACAAATATCTGGGGAGTTTCACATATTTTTTGTGCGACTTCAACAAAGCCATTTCAGTATTAAAAACTGTAGCTAGTGTCTGTTTTATCAATAATCTTTGTGCAATGAACAATGCTAGTCCACTAACATATCTAAGTATCTGTGTTTTTATCAGTCATTTTGGTCCACAAGTAATGTCAGTTTTTCCATCATTACTAATATTGTTTATGTATTATAATTGCCAGTGAGTATTCTATTTTCTGCATGGACTGTACCAACTATTATGGACTGTTACGTGATGAACAAAACCGCCCAAATGGCGTGCTGGTTTTCTTGGGGGAATTAGTCAGCATATAGGAAAACTTAGTATAAATATTATATCATGATACAACTATGGATTGTTAACAGTAGCCACATTTCTCATGCTCACTGACATTACCATTGTAGTACATGTATCGTACAATTGTAGCTAGTTAGTCGTCATATTACACTTTTACACCATGTACACCGTTACAAACAGTAGGTAGCTAGTAAATATATATACTTAACGACTACAATAAATAAATTATTAAATAATTTTAGAACCTAACTACCAGCTCATCTTACTGTTTGTTATGTGCAGCTATGCACTTGATGTATAACAAAATCAATGTTATCTCCTAATATTTAGACACATTTATGCCGCTAGGCATATTTATGATTTAGGTATAATGAGAGGGTTGTAAACTAGTAAAGTAGGTTGTGAAAATTTAACATTTTTTTAGATCTCAGGGTGCTTGCTCAATTTTGTTGTATGTAGAAAATGTTTATTTTGAAATTTATTCCGTCCCTTGCAATAAGTTAATACCATATTTTCTGACATTGTCTCAATATTTTTTTATATTTTGTGACATATTTCATGTTTATGATTACTTCTTATGTAGATGTAGAGTCATTCATGACAAGTCATTATAATACAATGAAACAGGCCTTCAGCTACAATCAAAGTGTTTTGTTGTTTTCTTTGTGTATGTTTCATTTTTGGAATTATATAAATATATTCAAAATGTGTGTTTGTTTTGTTTATGATGGTTCAAATATATGAAGAAATATGAAGAAAGATAAGTGTATGTCACTAGTGCATGCTATACTAATGAAACATTGCAATGTACTGAAATTAATACTTACCTTCTACTCGATTTTACAAAACACGGCGTTCTAGAATTTAGAAGGCCGTATATTTGGCGGGCTTTGTTCGCAATGCACGAAAACAGAGGGTCTTAGTATTCAATATTCGTTACAAGCAAAAGAATATGCAATGAATTTCTCACCTCAGCGTATACGTTTTTCCGGTGCCGCACTGTCCCGTTATAAGCAGATTGTGGCCGGATAGGGCGATATCCAAAGCTTCTTTCTGCTCCAAGTTCATCTTCAAGTCGTCGGTTAACAGTTGTGAGATCGGATCCAGTGAGCACGTGCGGTAAATAGCGTTGGGATTAGCTCCCTTGTCTTCATTCAGTCCGTATCATTCCGGAAGTCGTGCAAGTATGAAAGACGGACTCAGCTTCGTGTCCGATGCCTGTATATATTTTAATTAAATTGTGATGTATAGGTGGGTGTTTTTAACGTACCAAACTGGCGAAAATGCCGTTCACAAGTTAGAAAAGCAATCGGTAACTGTAGTGTCAGTGTGGGTATAATCTATCGTTCGTAGTAATTTGTTGAAAAATCGAGTCGGGCCCTGCAGTAGTTTTCTGTTGCATTCCTTCTCGCCCTTCGGGCTCGCGTGTGGAGATGGTCATGAATATGCATGAGGGCGTCTATTTTTAGATACGGACTCCTGTGGGTGAGGTGAGGTGAGGTGAAATGGGATTTAGCGTCGCGTCCAAGATTATTGCACTTACATAGCGACGTGCATGTACGTGTGTGTGTTTGTGTGGCTGCATGTACTAGTCCGGACTGATGCCGATTTATAGTGCTAGCTCACTGAGATACCATGCCGCAGTTTAACATGAATACCCCACTCAGACACAGTATACTGACTCGGTGCTGACCAGTCCTTGTTTTAGCCCCTTAATGCCGAGCGCCAGACAGGGTAACAACAAGTACCATCTTTTAACGTCTAGTTGAAAAAGGACGATAACTCTATCAAACATAGTTTAGAATTTTCTGAGAAAACTTGTCCCCATTTCACCTAAAATGCACTTAGTTGAAAAGCATGCAGCATGCAGGCACTTCAGGAACTCTTTGTGGCGCTAGAGCAGGAGTGACAGAAGATCCCCCGGGCTGTTATTCGGACTTTGATCGGATCTTTGGGCAGTCGCTGCCATGAGGTGATAGCAGCTCGAGGAGGCCATTATCGTTACTGACTTTCCACCTACCCCTTTGCACCTGTATTGTACAGCAATAATTTACCTATGCATTCCACCATTTGTAATATTTATGAAATTGAAACTCGAAAAATAAACCAAGTTGCAATCCTGATGTATAGTTTATATTTTGAAGAGAATATAATAACATCCTTACATTAATAATTGATTGATTAACACATGAGGCACTATGATGTCTAATCACAACGAAGCCCCGAGGAACGATTGCCAACATGCTCCCACAGCCGTGACATGTTCGACCAGTGCTCACAGTAGTGTTAAACCCTTCTCACTCACATATTACTGCTGAAGGGGACATCATTTATCTCAAGTGCTTGACGTCTTTAAAGCAAATTCCTCCTTTCACCAGTTGCACCAGCATTGAGGCTCGATATCATGACATCTACATTATCACTGTAATCCACGTTTATCACATAAATGCATGATACTATTACTTCCTCTGTCCAGGAGGTTAAAATACCGTAGAAATATTGTCCCCCATGTGTTACACATAAACCTGTCATAATGTAACTATCATCAACCAGTGTTTTTAAGCCAAGTCATTGATGAGTATTTTTTAATATCGGCTAGCATCGTGCACAAACACCAGTGGTTAAAGTGATGACGTAAATCCTGCTGGGGTATCATGCAGGAAGCAGAGGTACTGTAAGTCCCCATGATCCCCAGCGAGGTGGCCAAGCTTTGGTTACTGGTGGCCTATAGCTATAGCCCGTGTTTTAAAACTGTATATATAATATTGTTATGCTCAAATATGTTTCATAATTTGTTTCTAAATATAGAATGCTCAAATATGTTTCGCAACTTGTTTTTAAATAATACTTTAAATAAAAATATATTACCTTGGTCTCGTCGCTATATGGCTGAAATAATGCCGATGCGACGTTAAATTTTAACTCACTCACTCACTACCATAACTTCCACTAATGACAGATTGGTGAGCTGAAACGTTTAACAATATACCAAATGCTTCTCGTAAACACAGTCTAATGTCAACGTCATCTGGTTTAAAAATGACCGTGCATTCTCTGAGGTGCCGTCTAAAACTATTTGATTAATGCACTTATTTACTCCAAGTCTTTGTCTGGTGATGGAACATGTTTCTGAGAACTTACCTTTGTCGTCGACTTTTAAAAGCTTTTGTAAAACATTCCAGCACGCGTTCAAGCAACAAACGTTACTAAACCGAAGACAATCCAAAAAACCTATTCACCGTGTTTGACTGTACAATCTAAAGCAACGTATGGATAACATCATCCCCACTTTGAGTGAGTGAGTTGGGTTAAACGCCGCTTTTAACAGTATTCCAGTTATATCACGGCGTGTCAGCTTAATGTGGGAGGAAAGCCCGAAGTGTTGCAGGTCTCAGACGTTTACCACTTCGGTGAAACCCACGAGCACAGGTGTGCTGCTGACAAACCTCGAAATAGAATCGGGGCGAACCGGGATTCGAACCTACAATCATAGGTTTCTGGCGTGCCCAAGGGACGCAACTCTGCACTGCGAATCGCGACGCCTTAGACGACTGCCCCCATCTCCACTTTCAAGGCTGTCCTTGGGGTAATAATCAAAACTCAACAGTCATACAGCCAGGGTATTGCTGAGTGCGGCGTCAAACAGCAAACAAACTGACAAAAAGATTAAATCTGGACAGATTCATCCCAGGGGGTCATGTTTCGTGAGAGCAAAACTTGTTCAAAATGGATGACCGAATATATGATCCAATTGAATTAAGAACTTTCCGATATTTGTACACGTGTATGTTTGCAATTTGTAATGCTGGTGAGTTGGTAAGTTGAAGCCATATGATATTTTATCTTTACGAATAAGGACTTCAACTTTCGTGGTACATGGGACAAAATGGGGCAAAATAACTATCCGGGAAATCATCTAAGTTATCCTTTCTATTATGCAAGTTATTATTTAATGACGACCTATTTGAAAATGTAAATATAAATGGATTACATATTTCAAACGAGCTTTGGACAAACTTGGACATCTTGTTTTGACAACGTTTTAAATATCCTACTTATCTGGAACATTTAGTCCATGAAAAAATAAAAGACATTGATCATCAGTGTCCTCAAAAGGCATAATGTACAGTATCATAAAAATGCCAAATTTTGAATATTACTTCAGTATACTGCAGGAAAACGTTTGGCGAATTTAAGAACTTGTAACAATAATCTATATATTGAAACTGGGAGATTGAGAAAAATAGCTTTAAACGAAAAAATATGTCCACTTTGTAAACTATCTGACAAAGGTGATGAATTCCATTATTTATTTTTTGTCCATCTTTAGAAAACGAAAGAAAACATTTTTTTACAGATACTCCTTCGTCGAAACCAATATGTATAAAATGAATTTACTTTTCAATAATTCACGATTAGGAACATTGAGAAAATTATCCAAATTCTGTAAAATCACCATGGCATTGTTTAAACCTATCAAGTTCCTTTCCCCCTTATCGAATTGCACATATATTTCTACCCTAGTGCATCTGTATAAATATGCATGCATGCTCGGCAAAGATGTTTTTGTATCTAATCTATATTTATACGTATGTGTATTATGTTGTTCAAATAATTTTGTACCTCTGATGCCGCTGATCACGGCCTGAGTGTTAATAAAAGGTCAGTTCAGTCACAGCGCTTCATTACTGAGTAATATACTATATCACGTCATTGTCAAGTAACATACTATTTGCGGTCATCCACTGTTCATGATGTCACAAACTGATTACATTACGACTTTGGCTTCAGTGAGGTTTCACTGTAAGTTTGACTTGCCATGAATTTTCCCCCTCATTTTCATCCTTGTGGAGACCCGAATACACACTACGTTGACCCTTACTTCGCCTAAGGATCGCCATAATCACATCATCAACCATCTTGTCCTCCTTATTGCTTGTGTCACAATAGCCAGCACCTTGTCATGTCATGTGTTTTGTGTCATAATAGTTTAACATGCTTCTTCTCTTGTAAAGACCGCCTCTGTGGTCCTGTGGTAGAGCGTCCGCCCGAAGAGCGGAAGGTCCGGGGTTCGATCCACGGCCGCGTCATACCAAATGACGTTAAAAGATGGTACTTGTTGTTACCCTGTCTGGCGTTCGGCATTAAGGGGCTAAAACAAGGACTGATCGGCTCGGAGTCAGTATAATGTGTCTGAGTGAGGTATTCATGTTAAACTGCGGCATGGTATCTCAGTGAGCTAGCACTATAAATCGTCATCAGTCCGGACTAGCACAAGCAGCCTCACACACACACACACATGCATCCATGTTTCAAAAACAAAAGTAATGATTTTTGAGGGTCAAAACGTGTTCACCACCATACTTTTGTAATTGGCTAAGATGCTTTGAAAAATGTTGTGTCCTATGAATACCTAGGCGTCACTCTGCAGAAGAATTCTAAATTCACTATTACAAAACAGAATCTGGTGGAGCAAGCAATCAAATCAATGTATTATGTATTATCATCTTAAAATTATTGTTAAGAAATTAAATTATATCAATTTACAATGCTGGAAAGCCACACAAGATAAATCTTACAAAGGAGTCACATATACCATAAGTAAAAATGAATCCCTGAATTTCGAAAATTATTTAAATATGGAAGTAAATATTTGTCGAGACTTATTAAATTCAGAATCTCCAATCAAAGTCTTTAAGATGGAAAAAAATACCTTTAACTGAAAGAAAATGTCCATTTTGGGAATCATTTGATTTTGGTTATGAGTTCCAGTATCAATTTATCTGTCAACTACATGTATTTCAAAAGTTGAAACAGCTCAGGCTTAAAAAACAAAAATATTCTTGGATCTCAGGCACCGCCCGCATCAGCAGAACGGATGCCGCATGTTTCATTTTTATTTCCATTTTCAAAAAAATAAAAAACCCTGAATACTTAAAAACAATGCGATCCAATATAGCACACAGTTACTTCCCTTTACTGTGCATCTCGTGGTATGGTAATGGCAGCAATAGGAGTTTGTATGCTTGTTTTCAGGGAGGCCCATTCCTAGGTTGACAGTTCACTATCTTTTCAAAAGTCTTTGCCTGAGAACCAATTCTTTTATTTTTTTAAGCCGAATAAGAAAATATTTTTACGTTTCAC